ATCAGCGAAAAAAGTAGTTCCAAAAAAGAATTACAAGAGTAACATAGTTGACTCCAACTACGACATCGTCTAAATTCCCTCCCTGATGTTTCCAAATTTTTTTCTCGCGGTAAGTAACCGTTCCATTATCGTTCCAGGTCACGTTACACTTTTCCTCATTTTGGATGAACGTATAAGGACCCAGTTCCTCAAATTTGGGTTTCACTGACAAATTATAAAAATTCTCCGAATTTGTCCAGTTAAATAAATAAAACTCAGTTGAAACCTCACTTGGCAATTTTTTCCAAAGACTATACACAACACTATTTGGTGTTAACACAAAATGGTTTTTTAAAACCACTGGCCAAAAAAGAATAACACAAAAACCACAAATACCTAAAGTAACACTAAAACAAAAATGCGACAATTGTTTACATGATTTCAAATTGAACATTCTGTTACAAAATCAAAACTTGATCTAGAATTTATGGCTGAAAATCAAACTAATAAAGGATTACCAGTTTTTTATTTTCTATTTAAATCTAAAAACGAGTTCTTAGTAGATGTTTTTTTTTTCAAAATGTTTGCTGAGGTAATAAGTGAGATGGGTGAGATAATACAAAAAACTCTGATTTAAAATAAAAATGTTTTTTTTTCAAATACTCTTTCACCAGCGTTAATTAAATTCTTAATTAGTTAACACTTTTACTGACCACAAATCGCTTGGTGCACGACTTACACCTTGCAAATGTGCTTATACCGCGTTTCGCGCGTTTTGGGAAAATGTTAAGATATGCACGTGGACACAAGGAGTTGCATTTGAGTGTAGTAGTATCACCAGTAAGTGCTGTTTGATGTAAAATCAGGCAATCACGTAATTATAATATAATTTTTTGTACTCATAGCTTTTAGACAGCTATTTTCTGGTTATCTTCGGTGTGCAAAACAGGCATTTTCTTTGTAACAACATCTAGGAACATTATCATTGAGGTAAACAATGTCAACCAAGTCTTTTAAATTCTGGTGGTTTGCAACCTTTACTGCCGCTCATTATGAATTTAATACAAACGATTTTTTACTATAAATGACAGTTTATTTGAATTTAGATTTAATCTAGATTTAACCAGTTACTAACCCACCAACAAAAAACCTAACTCCCTTTGGTTGTGCTGCAAACAAAATGCTCATGTGGGAATTTTTATTTTCCAACCACGTTAGGTAAATAACGATTTTAACAGTCTCAGAATGGACTATATAAAGAACCGCTCAAAAAGTATTCAAAATTGAAGAACAAACTTAACATTACACAACTTCTTGCATTACATTTATTTGAATGCAATGACGATTCTAATTCTAGTGATCCAGATCATAGTAATTCTGAAAAAGAATCTCTTGAGAACTTTTAACTAGACTTGTTCCATTATTGTCACTAACTCTCAGAGGACCAAAAAAGGGTAAAATCCCTTTTACAAAACTATTTAGGTTAAAAATCGATGTAGAAGGAACAAAACCAATAGATTATTTTAATTTGTTGGCTTCAAATATTTTTTATGGCAGAACCAACTCAATTGCAGTTGATATATTTTTTGGAAGCAATAAAGAATTAGTCACAGGAAAGCAACAGAAGATGAATTAAAAAAATTTTTTTTTGGATTACTTTTTCATGGGTAATATTTGAGTCACTAGAATCACCGATTACTGGGAAACAAATTCCATAGTCTTTTCTAAAATTATGATTCAGACCCGTTTTTTGCTAACATTGTGAGCTTTGCATTATGAAGATAAGAACACCAATTAAACTATTAACTCACTTAGCAAAATAGCCTACAGTAGATTTTTTAAATACAACGCAGTTCATCACAATGATCAGATATTGTCATTTTACGAGCTTCGTTGTGAATATAAAACTCTCGGGTGGTATAAAAAGTCGGATGTTAACATACAGGGTGCGCCAGAACTCGCCAGAACTCGCGCCATATAAGGTAAGATACCAGGAACATGAAAAAAATGTTAAAAAATTTTTATCTATAAAAATTTCGAAGTTATGAGGGTTTAAAGTTTGCACTTTGACTCAATTTATTTCTGTTGGAAAAATAATTTTCCAAGTTTTTTTGCTATAGGCTATTAAAAGAGGAAACAAGGAAGCTGTATCCTAAATTGTAACTCTGTTCAATGTTGTTTGGGGCTTTTATTGGCAAAATTTTTGTCCCTTTACTAAATAATTGTAAAAAAACATATACAAGATCATCAGTATCATTAAATAGATATAAAAAAATGTCAAATGTCAAAAAATATATGTCAAAGTTTTTTGACAGATAGAATTTTTTAAACATTTTTTTCATGTTCCTGGTATCTTACCTTACTCGAAAATTTTCTCTGGGGCGCGAGTTCTGGCGCACCCTGTATTTCAAATGATGATACTCTTTAAAATACCTAAAATAAATTTTGGATACTAGTTACTTGCATATTGTTCTAAAGATAATAATGAAAAAGCAAAACGAAGAAGATGTAGGTAAAGTTTATTGGGTAAATAAATAATCAAATTAAAAAATCTGGTGTATTACTATCTTTTTTGTCCTGAAGCACCAAGACTTTGCTTGTTTCATCAAAATTAACTCAAAACGTTACTAGACCAGAAGGAACGCAACACTTGGCTTCCGAAAAAAATTGTTGAGTGCTAAGTCCACAAATCCTCACTCAACCTTCTGGAGTGAGAGTTAAGTTAAGAGTAGTCGAATAACAACATCCACAGTAGAAGAATGTAACAATTCTTGTAATAAAGTTTGTCTTTTACAGAACATTGTTTTAATTTGTTAAATTGTGCTTCTATATACATAGAAAAAAATACGAAAAAGTTTAACATTAAACAACATCATTGTTTGTATTAAATTGTTATTATTTTAATAAAATGATAAAAATTACGGTTTTCCTTTTTTTTTCAATTAAGGCGCTGGAATAACACTTCAAAAATAAAAAATAGATAATCTTGTAGTCGCTTTAATTCAAAGGAACCTCTTCGTCTATTATTACATCATTTTCTAATTTTTTCAAAACTTTTTTTTGACTCCGTTTACTAAAAAGTAAAAAAATTGAAACAAAACTAATCCCAATTATCAAACACCCTAACGCCGTACAAATAAATGGTAAATTAATAATTAATTTGATTAAAAACATTGGTGTTCCTGTAAGTTTTATATCTTGTTTTGTCCAGAAAACTGGGACAAAAATTTTGCGAGTGTTTTCCACAAGTCTGAAAAAGATTTTTTATCTGAAAATTATAAATTTTTAATTACTTACGGAATGCCTTCGACTGGTCTTATCAAAAGATTAAGTTGAGCTTTCGCTCTCATTTCAATCGGAATACCAGTGGTCTAAAAAACAGTTATCAGAATTTAAGTTACGGTTAAACCAAATAAATCTAACCGGTTCTATTATAAGCATAGATTCGTGTTTGTTTTTGTCCGGTTTTAAACCATCAATTAAGTCTAGATAATAAGAATCTGCCTGGAAAAAATGAGGTAGGGAAAGAAAAATTGGAAATTGGTGTCTTGTAGTTGAGAGGTTGACCATACCATAGGGTACACATTCACCATTACAAAAACAAGAGTTTTCCGGAAAAATTGTACCTAGGAGTATTTAATAAGAATAAGTTTTGGTAGTGTGAGGTTAGTACCGTTGTCGAAAAATTGGTCTCCGGGAATGTATTTGTATCCCAGAACGTTGTCAACCATTTCCGTTCCGTCGAATTGCATCGGCAATTTTCGACGCAAATCCATTGAAAATGCGAGCAAATTTTCCGGTTTTAGATCGCTCGGGAAAAACTGGCCACTGTACCCAGAAACGTCGGAACAATTTTCATGGAAAAATTGAGTTTTTGTGTCGTATTCCCAGTTGTAGATTTTACCCAATGTTGAGTTAATTCCGGTGCCCATGTTTATGGCTCCGGCAAAATCGGTGGTACCGTTTCTCTGGCAAATAATTCTGTTAGGGTTTGGATAAGACAAAAATATTTTTTTTACTTCATAATACCATCCAAAACGGTCAAAATTTGGGAGTTTTAACTCCTGGAAAAGCGGTAAAGCTCGTGCTATTTTGATCAAAGGTTCATGGTACCCTTCAAAGAGTAATTCACTGACGGTGTGGGTCGAAAACATTGATGAGAAAAGTGGTCTCAAGATGAGGAATAAGTATTTTCGGGAGTAGTATTTCCAGAAACGTGTTATACTTGTGGCTGTCTTAAAAAATCAAGGTTATCAGCGAAAAAAGTAGTTCCAAAAAAGAATTACAAGAGTAACATAGTTGACTCCAACTACGACATCGTCTAAATTCCCTCCCTGATGTTTCCAATTTTTTTTCTCGCGGTATGTAACCGTTCCATTATCGTTCCAGGTCACGTTACACTTTTCCTCACTTCGGCTGAACGTATAAGGACCCAGTTCCTCAAATTTGGGTTTCACTGACAAATTATAAAAATCCTCCGAATTTGTCCAGTTAAAGAAATAAAACTCAATTGAAACCTCATTTGGCAATTTTTTCCAAAATTGATAAACTACACTATTTGGTGTTAACACAAAAAGGCTTTTCAAAACTACTGGCCAAAAAAGAATAACACAAAAACCACAAATACCTAAAGTAACACTAAAACAAAAATGCAACAATTGTTTAAATGATTTCAAATCGAACATTCTGTCAGAAAGTCAAGACTTGATCTAGAATTTATAACTGAAAAGCAAGCTAATAAGAGACTACCAGTTTTTTGTTTTTCTTTTAAATGTAAAAACGAGTTTTTAGTGGATGCTTTTTCCAAAATGCTTGCTCAGGTAATAAGAGGGTCTATTTTTGGGATGGGTCAGACATCACAAATTGTGGGAGAAAATTCCGATTTAAAATAATTTATGTATGACCATGAAATGTTTTTCTTTTGCAAATAATTATTTTCATCAGCGGTAATTATTGTTAAAGAATAAAATAATTAGATAATAAGCTTGATGTTTCTATAAAATTGAAACAAATTGCTTGTTAGCGGTTTTTGTTACTTTGTCGACTTTTTGTATTATTTATTTTCTTTTTTTGTTTGGTTTGTAATTAACTTAAGGAAAATTTTAAGTCAAAAACCACAAAAATATAAATAAAACTTTATTAACATAACAAATAATAATAATAACTTTTTTATTATAAATAACAATTCGATTACAAACGATTTATTTTAAATTTTTTTAACGATTTCCACCGATCGATCAATTCTGAGTGGAACACTCTGATCGGCGTACAACAATTTTTCTTTCCTCCTCCCGCACATATTCATCGTGCATAATTTATAAACAAGAAGTGACAAAACAATCACACCAGCAAACACAAGAATAATCCCTAAAGCCGTACAGATCACCGGAAGATTGAGGAGTAATCTCAACTTGAAAGCTTCACCATCCGGAATTCGAATTTTCTGTTCGAACCACAGTATAGGTACGAAAACTTTCGGGACGCCTTTGTACAGTCTGAAACACTCTCATTACGATTCTGGATACCCGGAGTTGATAAAAACTTACGATATTCCGGAATCGGGCTGCATTAGGAGATTAATTTGGAGACGGGCGCTGACTTCCAATGGAATTCCGGTGGTCTGAAAAAACCTTCTCAATATGACTGAAAAATTTTTCGAGTGTCTTACAGGCTCCAGGGTTAGGAAAAACTCGTGTTTGGACTTTTCCGGACGGATGCCCTCGACTGAGTCGGTATAGTAGGAATCTGCTTGGTAGAAATGTGGCAGTGATGCGAATGATGGTGAGCCAAAACGGCAACTCGAAACGTTGACTAGACCAGAAGGCACGCATTCGCCGTTACAGAAACACTGGTTTTCCGGGAAAATCGTACCTGAAATAAGGACAAATTTTACAACAAAACGGAAAAATCTCATCTCAATTATGATAATGAAAAGAGTCAAAACATCCATTGAATTGTTATTATCGCAATAAAATGATAAAATTACGCTTTTCCTTTTGCTTCAAGCCGCTGAAATAACATTCAAAAAATAAAAAAGTCTAATTGGGGTCAAACTGATAAGAAAAGCAACTTTTATCGGAAAAGGCTGAATCAACTTTTTCAAAATAAAAAAATACTTTCATCAGTTTTGCGTAGTAAATGTGGTGCAAAAATTTTTTTTTCTTCAAAATAAAAAATGTTACCATTATCAAGCATGTAACTGTCGACGACGTACTTGTTCCCTAGTATGTTATTGACGACACTTTGCCCGGAGTATCTAAGAGTCATAGTCCGGCACAAATCCGGTGAAAAAAAGCTAATGGATTTATTATCAAGCTTGGTGAAAAATTCCCCAGCTGAACCATTAACCATGGCACAAGTTCCCTCAAAATACGGCGTTTGTGTCCAATAATTCCAGCTGTATAGTCTACCAAAAGTCGAGTTTACTCCAGTTCCCATATTAAAGATGCCTTCGTAATGCGCCGATCCGTTTCTCTGCAAGGTTGTTCCATAAGAAGAAAACTCGGTTTCTGTGTCACTACTTACGGTATAAAACCAACCGAATTTGTCCCAAGGTGGCAGAGAGGCCGATAGAAATGGTAAAGATCGGGCGAGAGTGATGAGAGGGTCTTTGTACCCCGTGAAAAGCATCTGGGAGACGGACCGGGTGATGTGGACAGTCGGGGACATGCTGGAGAGGGATAGGGAGAGGCCTTGGCGGACTAGGTAGCTCCACGTGCGTGCAGAGTAGGCAGCTGACTGAAAATACAAACATTTAATTAAAATCCATAAGTAATTATTACCGGATAATTAATTAGGAAAACTAGAGACTAGGCAAAATTTGATTATCAGGTATGCAGAATTTGTTGCTAAAATACACACGAAACTTTTCATTTAAGATCAATATTGAAGTTTAGAACTGTGTATTGTTCATCAAGTTAATTCTCCCGTGAGAGGTTTTGCTCTATTTCAGACGACTTAAGTAAATTTTCAACTATAACAAAAAAAAAATAAAAAATGAAGTAGCTCATAGCACGTGATGTAATTGTTTAGGTAAGAAATCGATCAATTACAAGGTTACGTTGTCAATTACTGGATAATGTTACAAGAAATTGACAAGAAAACTGATAATTCCCATGTTTTTTTTTCATTTTGAGCATTTATTGTAAGTCTGGAATTTTTTTTTTAATTCTTAGCGCTTCATTGTGATGGTGACAAGTTTTAGTGTAATTTCAGACGCAGTGGACCAATAATTTAGTCACCTTTTTATAGATGTAGCATTGTTAAAAGATGAAAAAAATGTTGGAATAAAATGTATTCTCATAAAAAATCGCTCAACTAACTACAAGAATTACATCGCGTGTTTCAAAAATGTGTGGCATAATTTTAATCACGAATACCCCTCTACAAATGAGAATAGATAGCACAGTATTTATTGACCTACCTTAAAAAATAGAAAAATTACAGCTTTCCAAAAATGAAATGAAAAATGATGAAATATTTTTGTTATCGTTTATCCGATTATTATGAAACTTTGCATGTCAAGGAATAAAAAGACACTTTCTGATATGATGTAAACGAAAGTCTTGTAAAAGCTATACATTTCCGGTGACAATAGGACCTTTTTAGTTTTTGGGTCATAACTCTTTTTTTCAGCCTATTAACACGTATTTTTAATGCCAAATATCAAAAGCCCAATCATTTTTTCATAAAAAAGGTACTCTTGTTTCATATGACATAGCTGTCAATGCTGTCACATTTAATCTCAATTTCATTTAATCTAAAGTAAAATTTGATCATTTCTTGATAATCATAGTAAAACCTTGATTATGTGTTGGAAGAAAGCCATCGCGGCCATAACAACATGGTCTGAGAATACATCACAGAAGTTTTCACACCGTAAAACGATTTTCCCTCCAATTGCTCACTTTGTTTTTTATTAAATGACAATAACCTGAGTCAATTTTTTTTAACTAGCCTTAACAGTATGAGGTAATCACGGCATCATTTTTAAAAACTAAATACATTTTTGACTTTATTATTCAAATTTTCTTTGTTGTTTTTTGTTGAAAAGAAATGTATTCACATAAAAATTCGCTCAACTAACTACGTTGTCAATGAGTGCATACATATAAAGTTACTTTGGCGACAAAACTGATAATTCTTAAAAGTCATGATTTTTTTTTATATAGCTTTGTTCACATCTAAAAGATGATAATGGACAACGTATGTTTTGTAACTTGATCCACGTTATTGGTTTGTCACTGGAAATGCATTTTGTATTTTTTAAATGTGTACTTACGCTTTATTGAAATAGTGACTGGCTTTAATGTAATTTCAGACGCAATGGAGGAATAGTTTGGTCAGTTTTTTTAATTAATGCACTAAAAATACATTTCATAGATGTAGCTTTGTTATAGATTATGCATTTACATAAGAAATCACTCAACAACAAGAATTATACGTTGACAATAATTTTGTTAAGTGTGTATAAAGTTACATTGAATAAAAACAAAACTAACAATTAATTTTCAAAAATTACACTTAAAGTCATTGTTGTCAACGCTATAATTTTTTATTGACATTCAGAATATGATTATCCAGACCTTATCTTGCAGCCTTGATTCACACTTTAGCATTTTCTTTATCATTTTTATTATAAATTGCAATTGCAACATTTTCTATTTGGATGTGCTGAGGAAATACAGGGTGTTTCAGAGAAAAACTCCAAGTACGATAAGATACCAAAAACATGGAAAAAATGTTTAAAAAATTGTATCTGTCATTTATTTTTTGACATATGACACTTTTTATGTTTATTTAATTATATGTTTTTTCATAATTATTTAGTAAAGGTAAAACATTTTTGCCCATAAAAGCTACAAATAGCTTTAAACATAGTTACAATTTAAGATTCATAAGATTCCTTGTTTCCTGTTCTGATAGCCTGTATCAAAAAATCTTGGAAAATTATTTTTCCAACTGAAATAAATAGAGTCAAAGTCCAAAACTGTTTTTTTACCAATTTTTAAGCACATTCTTAATGCGCTTTATTGAAGTATTGACTAGTTTTATTAGTGTCAATTCGGTCAACAAATAATCACATTTTATAGACATAAACATGTAAATTCGAAAAATGAAAAAAGCGAATTACTGCTATAAAATTAATCTTGCACTAATCACTGTCCTTTTTTTCTTAAAGGTCAGTTTTATTAAAAATCGGAAAATTTGCATATTACTTGTTACAATTAATTAATTCATTATTCAATTACAGGTAAAAAATATTTTTCTTGGATAGGTTTTTTTATTCGGTGTTGTGTGTTATTAATTTGAATTATTTTGATTTTGTTAAATAAATTTGAATACCAAATTTTCCTGGTTTGTTAATCTAAAAATTAAAATTGAATTGTAAAAATGTATTCAAGTTGTGTTAACTTTCGGTTTCATTAATCACTTCTGGCAACATTAGACATTTTTTACCGTTAGATGCCTATCTCGGAACTTGTTTACAGCACGCTGAAAGCTCTCCGTCAGATTTAATAACGAATTTAATGGCTTTCAGTACGAGACAATTTCAGGGAATAGTTTACCTTGGCACATTACTATTTTAAATTAAAAAAAATGTAATCTTAATAATTAAAAATAAACTTGAAAATGTTATCACTTGTGTTTCATAGAAGGAGAAATTTGATGTTTTTTGTACGTCACAAGATTATAAACAATGCCAATGCGAAAACATTTTTTCTTAATTAGCGTAATGAATTTACTTACTAAGGCGACGGGATTTACAGTGGTGATTTCGTCGTTGATATCCCCTTTTGCCCGATTTTCATACCAAAACTTCAAATGTCTGAAAGAAACCGTCCCGTTTTTATTCCACACGATATCGGTCTTTTCTTTCGTCTCGGAGTATCGATAAGGCCCCATTTCTTGAAACCTCATCTTCACCGAATTGTTGTACACATCCTGGGGATTAGTCCAATTGAAGAAATAAAAATCGATGGGGAACGAAGTCGGGAATTTTTTCCAAATATCATAAGCGTGCGAAGTCGGCGTCAACACCATGTTACTCTCGATTAAATATTTCAAAATCATTGGCCAAATAAACGGAAGTACCAAACCGAAAACAATAAAAACCACCGACACCACAAACGCACACAAACACTTGGGCAAACACCTCGTGGACTTCATGTTGTAAGTTCTTCTGATGGCCTGAAAAAGAAAACATCACTGGACGCTGATCCAAAACGAAAAACCATTCAAGTGGGGGGGTACGAAATCGGGAAGGACTCACCATGGTGTTGCTTGACATTTACTTCATGTTTTACAATAACAACTTAGTTATCCGAGCAAATGCTTGTTATTAAGTCGGAGGTGAAGCACCATTTGACCCCTCGTTAATTCACTTTACGCCAAATCACAAATTCGGACTTGTTGGAGACTTTTTCAGGATTTGCTGATGCAATGAGTGTGATGGTGGCTTTATACCGGACGAAATTGGATTAAAGTTTTAAGGTATCGGTCATTGTTTTCACAAACATGCCGCTGTGATGGGAAATTTGAATATTGAACGGAAAAGATGAACGGTGGGCGTGCACGCGATTATACGCTTGGGAAACTGGATGATTTGATTAACTCACACGAGATTAAGCGATTTTTTCGGTCTACACGGCTTTTATCTAGTTCATTATCAAGGTGTGAGTGAAGACTAGACTCAAGGCGAACTTAACTGCACTAGAAAGGAAAAAATCAGACTCTTTAACTCTGATTTAAAACGAAAATTGAAATTGAACTTGAAAATGACAAGAATATTGTCACAATAAAGTTTGTTTGGTAACATCAAAGCGAAACATTTCTTCCATTAAAAACTGAACAGATAAACAAAGTCCATTAATTTAATCAGTATGTCAACGCGTGTAATTAAAATGGACGTTTATAATTTATTGTTATTAGAGTTATTAACAATTCGTTACTACACTTTGAAGTCTCGAATCTAAAAATAATTTACACCAGAATTTAACGAAGTTTTATACAGGCTGAGTAAAGTTTTGTTTGCTCTTACCGTACTTTGGGTCCCCTTGCACTATTATTCATGAGAATCTTTCAAATGCAGTTGCATCGCGCGCGAACTTGGATCGCTTTGCACTTGAGACAAACTTGAATTGTATTTAAAGTGCACACAATTAAAAAAAAAAGTGGTGTTGATGACTTTCATTTCAGTGACAATTACGTAACTAAAACACTTAAAACGGTGCGGTTTATCTATTTTACGTCGATATTTACCGATCGTTTCGCTTGTTTAAAAATCAATATTTTTCACATCGTCACATTTTCGATCAACAGTCACCAACACTGCGCGTCTTTAATTAAAGACAATGAATGGATTCGACCCACAGTGCACTCGTGATTCTAAAAATATTTCTAGATTACAACATGAGAAATTCAAAATTTCAAGAAATTTTGATTCAGCCCGTGGCTTGAATAAAAACGTAATTATTTCGTAATGTGGTTGATCATAGATAATCGTCGAAATTATCTCGGAATGATCGCATGTTATTTATGTTTTTTTTTTTGGTAATTATGGGAAATTGCTTCCGATTTTAGACTTACCTTGCGACTTTGTGCTTTGATTTTATCACAAGCATAAATTAAAGTGAATTTTAATTTAACGATTCTTGTTATCTATGCAACGTGTGATGTTTAGATAATGGAAATTTGCATTAAATTGCATATTTCTAAAGGTGGCAATGATAACACATTAAGTCTTTAATCAGCACTTTATTTAAGACAGTCGTAACTAATTTATATAACAATGTTGTTCAAATACATTAATATAATGTTTGTTAGTTGATACACAGTTAGAATAAGTCGGATACGTTCTAAACTTGGTCTAAAATTTTATAAAATCGCGACAATTAAAATACGGTCACGCCCCCTCCCCCTAGTGACTATCGAAATCGAACACTATCCTATCTAAAATACAATCTACACTTAGGTCCCACAATAGGTAGAGCTTTATGAAAATTTGATTATACGATCAATATTTCATTTCTAGTGCTTTGTTTGTTAAAACAGCCGCTTTGACATATAGTACCGGGGGCGTGGCTTAAAGCCCCGCCCTTGATACGTCCGGCGGGTGATTTAAACAAAGCGACTTTGGTCCTATGTAAGCGATATATCAAAATAGAGTACAGTTCTAATAAATACACATGTTAAATATTGTTTGTGTTATTGTTGTACGAATCGGATGGAATTGTGCCAAAAATTATTTGCTTTATTTTCCAAGCTTCCGAGGATTATGTTAGAAGAGATGATATAAATGTTAGATATGCCGTCAAGTTTTGGCATTGTAAAATAGCTCGAATAGTTGTAGTACAAGGCATGCCTTTGAAATTCCCGTGTTTTGAGCAAAATGTGTGGGTGCGTCCAATTCCGGCAATCTCACTAGCCTTGGATTAGCAAAATCCGGCCTTCGAGTGTTAAAAAATATATCTCTGAAGCACCAACAATTAGAAAAATACATATTTCGGATCACACATCGGAACTTTTGAGTCCTTCGAGTAGCGGCGCTGTGATTCTCGTCTCGTCCAAACAGATGAAAACCGGCGATGATCGGTCCTCTTCGACAATGCTCGACCGTCGATCGAAGCTTACCGAACTGACATCGAGACTGTTCGCCATGCGTTCGGCTGGTCTCGTGCGTTCTTTCGGCGGTTGCTCGAAACTGCGCGAAAGTTTCGGTAGTTTCTTCGGTAAGTCCACTTTGGCGGGCTCCACGTGGGCTTCGAAACTGACGATGGGGGGCGGCTGGTGGTAGCTGCACGAAGGCATGTTTATCGACATTTTGCGCTCGATGATGGGGTGCTCGAAACTGATAAAGTTGCGGTGGGGGCGGGAGGGACGCTCGACGAAACACGACGAACGGCGGTAGCGAGGAGGGGGCGGCGGACGGTCCACGATGGCGATGGAGGGCCGGTGGCGGGGACGCTCGATGGTGATTGAGGGGCGGCGGTCGCGGTTCAGGATGGGAATCACCGAACCTAGGAGATTTATAATTATTTGCGTCACTGTGTATAGTCTGTTTTTTTTTTTAATGGAAATTACCAAGTCAAAATTTTGGTGAAAAAATTGGTAGCAGCTTGTCTCCATAACCACAAATTGTGATTGCTCTTTGTTTTTGTCTCTAGAAATTTTGTTAAAAAATTATGGTTATGTTATGTTGTCAAAATTTTGACTTTTATGAATCTTGTGTGCCTGTTTGCTCTTTGAACGCGCTATAATTGAATACCTGAGGTCAGACATCACTACCTAAGGTCTAAAGACCGAATTCAGTGCTAATAATTTTGATAGAAACACACCGGAAGTAAGTACAATGTTGTGGACAAAAATGAGGTTCTTGCTACAAAAATTTTGAAGAAAAAGGATGTTTATATAGAAAAAAGTTATTTAGCAAAAGATACAAGTGGGTATTATGACGATCGGCAATGAATTTTGTGTAATTTATTGAAATGAGTTCAAAGTTGATGCATTTTATAAATTCTTCAGCTTTAGTTTCAAAATTGTTACTTTTTCAACTCGTTCCTTAAAAACGATGCACAAGACACTAATTTAATTGCGTTCTGTCTGTGGTTCTTTCTCATTCATGTTTATTTTGAATTCTTGTCAATTTCTTGCTAAAAATTGAGAATGTTTAGCAAACCTGCATTACAAATTGCTTCCACATTTTAACGGCCCCTTTTTCTAACTTCCTGCTTGCGAACTATTCGTTTCCAAATTTCGAAAAACTGTTAGCGGTACCGAATTTGTTCCTTTTTTGGTGTTTCGTCTCTAAATTTTCTTAGACGATTTTTTGTGTTGACGTTTAATGACACTGTTTTCAAATTAATTCAACAAACCGGAACTGCCAACTTTTTTTATTAAAATTACCATGAATGAATTTACTAGTGGTGCCAACGTTAAGACTGTTTGGCATTTCCATTAAAAAAAAAAAAACAGACTTTAAATGGGGCGATATGTACCTTTCCTACCTGTGAGTGATGTGGGACTGTGCTCATTCACGACCATATGTTGGATATCGATGGCGGATTTGACACGTCGAGGGGGTGGGTTTAGGATGGCCATCGTCGAGCTTCCTACAAATACCGAGTTTTGTCTCGGTCTTCGTATTATGGGCGATGGAAGGGCTGATAAAGGGTCAGTCATGGCGTTGACGTTGTATTTCGAAAAGGACATCCTTTGCTGCAAGTGAAGTTTATATTTCCGTAAAATTAATGTCTGGCAAAAAAACCAACAAAACTTGTTCTAATTAGTTGTATTCAGCTTCCTGAAATGCGACCGTGAATATTAAATTTTAAACTAATTAGAGGTTTTGGGTTGTTTTTTTTTTTCCTCTTTTAATCACTATTATTGTGATGCGTCAATTATAATGACATTGAAAACTATAATGAGACTAAATAGTTTCAAGTTCACTTCCTAATATTTTAATTCCGTTAAGAAAAAAACGTGAGATTGATTGTTTCATTTAGTTTAATTGCAGCCTTGGGTTGTGAACTTTAATCTAGGTATGGAAATTTGCAATTTTGGGTTTAATATCTAATAAATTTAAATATAAACTTTTGCCCGAAGGTGTCCTCATTAACTACATTTTTATTCACACACTGGATTTTGGAAAATTTTGTGAAAAACTGTAAATATTTTTGATGACAACATTTGTTGTTAAAGTCGTTGGGATAATGGTGGGGAATGTTTGAATGAAGGGTCAAAGAAATCATTTCTTGTCTCATGGTACCATAAAATGCCGAGGGCTCTACGTCAAACCAGTTCAAAAATATCCAATGAATTTTTAAATTACTGGGGGCCATTATGTTCTAACAATCCGATTTTTTTTAGTTAAACAAATAATTTTATGGGCCATTAAATGGAAAATCATTGATGTTTACGCAGGTTTTCCATTGAAGACAAATTTAACGTTAAATAAACATAAATAAAAGGATTGTTTGAAGGACAGGTCTTTAAAAATAACTACGGTAAATCGAAATTTTCAAAAAAAAATGATCCATTATTGGCTGTCGACAAAAACTTTATTGCATTTGGTTTAATTTATTCCTGTCTACAGGGGATAATCGCTAATTACGTTTTATAACCCATTTATTGGCCTGTTTTCGCCTTACGTTTCAAAACACCACTTTTTCGCTTATATCGTTTATCTTTTTATCTAGGCGAGAAATACATTTCTGCTCGAGCAAATCGACTTTGTCGCCTTTATTATTGAATATAGAAAGGACTTGTAAGGTGACGGCTTTAAAACAAAAATCCCTTTCAACGTTAAAACAACAAAGAAATCCGCCGTCGTCTTTTTTGCATCGTCTCATTTTCTCTTATTGCACTTGCAGTTTTTTAAAAGCGTAAAGCTTTCGTTCCATCATCACAATGTGACGGAGGAATAAAACCGGCGAGATTAGCGATAAAAACGCCGAATCCTGGCTTTGGAGTTTTACGGTTCAATTTCATTACGAAAAAAATCCCTTTCCAATAAAAACAAAATTGGGGATGATCTAATCGTATTCGAATGGTAATTCCGGCTTGCCGGGGCAATTATGGCGAATTAAAAATGCCAACTTTTGCGATGTTTTACATCCGGATGGATTTTATTAGAGAGAAAGAGCAAAATTTAAAAGTGTGTTCAAGGTGAGGCACTTTTTGGTAACTTTTACTAATTGCCACCTAAATAGTGATTACTAAAACTAATTTATATAAATTTAATTAAATCATAACTTTAATTAAATCATAAAGTCATTGCATTTTGTGAATTGTTGTTCAAAAAAGAAGAAACACTTAAATATTGTAATGTATTTTTTATTTGTTGTTTCTGTATTGTTTTTTATTACAATGTGAGGTTTTTCAGTGGTAGTAAACAGTAAACATTTTTAGGATAATTGGATTCGGAAAAAGAAAGGAAAGTTTCTCAACGTTTTTCTTAGTTAAAATTAACAAATCAGTGTTAGTTTTTGATAACATTTGTTATAAACTGCTTGAAAAGTATTTTTTGTTAAATAAACTTGTTTTTTTGCGAAAAATTGGATTCCCATTGCGTAAAGAGAATGTTTTACTTATTTTTTTAGGTAAGAAAGAAAAGTTTCTCAAAGTTTTTTTTAGTTAAAATTGCAAATCAGTGTCAGTTTTTGATTTTTTTCTGATATCGTTCGTAAAGTGAACGAAACAGTCTGAAATTCTTGAAATTGAAACTCTTTTTTTTTTTTCGAAAAATTGAATTTTCAATGCAAACGTCAAAGTTTAACAGTAGTTTCTCAAGGTTTTTTAGTTAGAATTAACAACAGTGTCAGTTTTTGAGAACATTTGTTAAAAACAGCTTGTAAAGTTTTTTTCTCAAATAAAATCGTTTTTTTTTTCTGATATCGTCTGTAAAGTGAACGAAATAACCCGTAAACTAGTACTTTTCCGAACTCATATTTCATTCACTGAAATTCATTAGTTTGATACAATTTCACTTATCTGGTTCTTTTTGAAATTTTTTCCGGAAAATTGAATTTTCATTGCAGAAGTCACAGTTTTATCTTTTTTTTAACTATAAAAAAGAAAATATTCTCAAGGTTTTTTGTAGTTAGATTTAACAAATCAGTGTCAGTTTTTGAGAACATTTGTTAAAACAGCTTGTAGTTTTTTTCAAATAATAATAATAATAATAAAATTGTTTTTTTTCTGATATCGTCCGTAGAGTGAACGAAATAATCCGAAATTTCCGGACTCATAATTCACTCACTGAAATTCAATACTTTGACACAATTTGACTTATCTGGTTAAACTCTGAATTTTTTTCGGAAAATTGAATTCTCATACCTTTCTTTTTTAACTAAGAAAGAAAAGTTTTTTAAGGTTGTTTTAGTCAGAATTAACAAATCAGTGTCAGTTTTTAAGAATATTTGTTAAAAACAGCTTGTGATGTTTTTTTCTCAAATAATTTTTTTTTTCTGATATCATCTGTAAATGAACAGAATAATCCGTAAACTAGTACTTTTCCGGACTCATTTGACACAATTTTGCTTATTTGGATAACTCTTTGAAAGATTTTTTGGAAAATTGAATTCTCATTGCGTAAAGCCAAAAATTTACCTTTTTAAGAATGAAAAGTTCCTCAAAGTTTTTTTAGTTTAAATGTTTTTTTTATATTGTTCGTAAAGTGAACAAAATAGTCCGTAAAGTACTACTTTTGCAAACTCACTGAAATTGACCGTAAATTTGACAAGATTGTCCATGTTGTGTAATGTTGATTGCATTATTTTTCAAATTTTTACATAATTTATAGAATTTCGATTTCAGAAAAAAATGTAGGCATATTTTTTACATTTATACGGTTTATATTTGTGATAAAAACTTGACTTTGAGTCTTGGTATAGAAAAATAACTCTTTATAGTTAGCGTGAAAATCTTTTTTACAATAACGACAATTCAGTTTAACATTAAACAGGTGTGTCATTTGTCATTTTCCGGCATTTTTGTGGCTTTTAGCCTTTATTTTTGCATGTAATTAAGTTGACAGTTTATTTTCCGTTTAGTGTGCCGGAGGGTGCGCCAATCAAGGGTTGTTTAACCTAGTGCCAGCGTGTAGAAACCTACTCTACATTTCTAGCGTGCGTTTTTAATTAAACCGAATCGGTGGTGTCCGTTGAATTAAAACGAGTGTTTAAAAGAAAAAAAAACTCATTTACGTAATAGTGTTTGTTTTTACATAAACATATGCTTGTATCGTTGAACTTTTCGAAAGTGGCAGGCGTGTAATTGCCTTGTCAATATCCAAAACGCTCCACCGATTCCGATTTATTATCAAAAAAAAAAAAATAAATAAAAGGTGCTCTAATCGTTAATCTACGCATGACTAGAACGTACAGTGGTCGGTTTCTGCGCCCTGGGCAGAGAGTTGCTCACTTGCGGTGCCGGGGGGCTAAGGGGCGCCAAAGGACACGAGGGCCGATGGGGCTGTTGGTGGAACTTGGGCTGGTAGGGCTCCAACATGCGGATTTTGCCCCAACGGTTGAAGAATAGGGCGATGGCCGCCACCCAGATCATAAGGACGAGGACCACGAGCAGCACCTCTTCGACACGGACGATCACCACCGGTCCGTCTGGAAAAAATCGAAGATGTGAATAATTCCAAAAACCGCCCCATTGCATCCGCGATGAAATATTGAAAGGGTGAGGGTCGAATTATGGACTAAATAATTGATCATGGTGTCTTTTAACGTAATGGAAGAGCGGAGGTGGCACTAGATAAACGACTTCGTTACCGGTACATTACGTTAAAAGCTCAGTTTTCCCCTAAACAAAGTATTAAAGAAAATACCACTGTTTGTGACAATGATGCGTCCGGTTATTAATCAAACACAGGTACCGCACATTATAATAAATCAATATCAAGTGGAAATATAATACGTTGTGGGTCTTTGTAACTCCGTAATGGGTTTTGATATCGATTTGAGAAACTTGTAATTTTATTCGGGCTCCGATACTCCCATTTATGGAAATTATAGTGCACCAAAGTTTGTCTTAATGACAACATAAGGTGCGACATCGATCCACCAGTAAATATGTAACACTTGAGTTCATTTCTAATCTAAATTAGTTCAATCGCATCTTGTCGCTGCAACTACAATTAAATGTTCGCTTAATTGCTCCCAATCTGGCGTTCAAAGTGAAGGATTAATCGCACACGTTCACTCCCTAAACACAATCGGATAAATTTTGGCCCGATTTCGAGTGAATCAACGAGAATAATGACGGTTTGAAAATTATGCTAAAATACGTCGCTTCATAAAGCTGTGTTTACAAAGTTTAAAGCTTGGTGTAATTAACAAGCTTATTACCAACACATTGTGATACATGAACAAGCTTCTCCGTCAGAAGCTGATAAACAGTTCTTTCATAATTTTTTATCTGAAAAAAATGGTGCTTTCCACGTTTAGTAATTTTTTTGATTAAGATTTAGAACAGTTTTATATTTTGCAAGAACTGGAAAAATACAACAATTTACATCAAAAATAGTTGTTTTCATCAGTTATTTCACAATTTATTATCTGAAAAAAATAGTGCTTTCCACGTTTATTATTATGATTATGATTTAATCTTGTAATAGTTTTATATTTTGCAAAAATTAAAAGAAACTGAATTTTCTAGAGGTTTCACATTAAAAATAGGTTTATTGAACAGTTATTTTATAATTTTTTACCTAAAAAAATATGGTACTTTTCAAAAAGATAGTACTTTCCACGTTTTGTGTTTTTTTTATCAAAATTTGAAACATTTTTCTATTTTGCAAGAGTAAGAAAAAATTTTCCAAAGGTTTCACATCAAAAATAGGAGTTTTCAACAATTATTTCATAATTTTTAATCTGAAAAAAATGGTACTTCCACGTTTAGAATTTCTTTGATTAAGATTTGAAACTGCTTTATACTTTGCAAGAATAAGAAAGAAAACTGAATTTTCTAAAGATTTTACATGAAAAATAGGTTTTTTCAATAGGTATTTCAGAATTTTTTATCTGAAAAAAATGGTACTTTCTACTTTTAGTGCAAGAATTGGGAAAAAACAGAATTTACAACAAAAATAGGTTTTTTCAACAGTTACTTCATAATTTTTCATCTGAAAAAATGGTGCTTTCCACGTTTAGTGATTTTTTGATTAAGATTTGGAACAGTTTTATATTTAGCAACAATTTGAAAAAAGCTAAATTTTCTACTTACAAGTTTTACATCAAAAATAGTTTTTTTTCATCAGTGATAAATTTAACAATTTTTTATCTGCAGTAGTTTTATATTGAAAAAAAAAACTGAATTTTCTAGAGGTTTCACATTAAAAATAGGTTTATTCAACAGTTATTTTATAACTTTTTATCTGAAGAAAAGATGGCACTTTTCAAAAAAATGATACTTTTCACGTTTTGTTTTTTTTGAACAAAATTTAAAACATTTTTCTATTTTGCAAAAGAGTAAAAAAAACTTTTCAAAGGTTTCACATCAAAAATAAGTGTTTTTAACAATTATTTCATTATTTTTAATCTGAAAAAATGGTACTTCCATGTTTAGTGTTATTTAGTTATTTCCACGATACGTTATTTCAGAATTTTTTGATCTGAAAAAAATGGTGCTTTCCACTTTTAGTGCAAGAATTGGGAAAATACTGGTGTTTTAATGAAAACACAAATAACTAATGAGTTATTTCCCAATTTTTTATTTGGAAAAAATGGTGCTTCCCACGTTTAATTTTGCAGTAGTTTTATATTTTGCAAAAATTGAAAAAAACTGAATTTTCTACAGGTTTCACATCAAAAATAGGTTTTTCTAACAGTTATTTCATAATTTTTTATCTGAAAAAATGGTACTTTCCACATTTAGTGATTTTGGAACAGTTTAAAATTTGGAAAAATATTAAAGTTTTACATTAAAGATACGTAGGTAGGTTTTTTAAGGGGTTACTTCGTAAATTTTTATTAGAAAAAAAAAATGGTATACGCAGTAATTAAAAAAGTTTGACGCAAAACGATCTGATTCATTCTTTATTCGAATAGTTTGAATCAAAGCAAAGTTGGAAGGAAGTCGCGGATGAGATAGTGGAATTGTTCCGCATTTTATGTCGGATGCCCTCAGGAGACAAAGACTTGTAATCCGGGACTCGATTACAAACGAACACAATAGGCTATCTCTCTCTAGCAATTGCCAAAAAATTTAAATTTATTGTGATTACCTGCCATGGGGTAGGCAGGCGTGTTGTTGACCAGCAATGCGGTGGAGTCCCCGGATTTGGTTCCGGGCGATGCCTCTTCGCGAACCTCCACCTCCATGGTGCCGCCGTGGCCCACGTCCCACTCTATACAAAACACACAACAATGAAAAGGGGTATCTAATATACATAGAGGAGACTTAATGAGGGGCCTCTCTGAGAGAGATATAATCGAGAAATGACAACGTCACGTTTCACTAGATCGTGCTTCATTAGGATAAAGGACGGTCTCTTGAGACACAAAAACTACACACTAAGCAGTTATTTGCGGTCGTGAAAAATGACGGTGCGAGATCGAGGCATGTTGAAAAAATTTTAGGTAAGTACAGGGATATATCGACGGTTTTGGAGGGTTGAAAGTGATGAAGGGTCTATGCAAATTTTGTGGAGAGTTCGGAAACAACAAGATGAGTGCACGATACTGTTTGAAAATTTCGCCGTGTTGACCTTTGCAGAAAGTGGATACTTAGCCAAAAAATGATTCAATACATCGGCAAACTTTGTAACCACTTTATTACTGCACAAGGGTGGTAATAGTATATTACATACCGAGGTGGAAAGTGTTTCATTTCTCATCTCGAGACTGAAATGAAACGTTCTACCGAGGTTTGTATACAATTTTGTTCACAAGCCTAACTTTGATTTTCGTAGAAAAATTAAAAAAAATGTCGTTATAGCGACAAACATAGCAAATAATGTGGTGACGCGATTTTGTGCTAGATATATGTGGCAGTTTTTAGCAATAAGTCTTCAAACCTATTGAAATGGTCGATTCAGATGACGAATTAATGGACAATACATTGATGTGTTTAATAACCATGGTGGTAATAGAGGTGGGTAATAGAAAGTCAGTAATGAGACACTTTCCAGCTATCGTCAATGTTATAAATGTTAACATTACATATACGTTTGTGAATAAAAGAGTTAATCAAAACTTCTAAAAAAATTATTTGCGTCGTAAAACTATTAACATTAATAATAATAATTTAATGAGACACTTTAAATTCAAGTTTTTAACATATTTGACTGTATTCATACTTTTTAGCGACCTTGAATCCAAGAAAAACAAAATATAGATATGCAACATCCAACAAGTTGTTTATCAAATAAACACAATGGTTGTTTTTTTTTAAGTTTAAAATTAAATATCTTTTTGGCCTTGACAACTGTAATTGACATTTTTACATATTTTGACAGCTACGGTATCTGATTCTCACAAGGCATCTGTGCGCACGTAGTGCTATAAAATAACAAGAAAATTTTAGGCTTTAAAGACTGCAAAAAATGTTAAATAAATTCTATTAATGCTGAGAGAAATTACCGCACAAATTTGTATATTTGGTATTTAAAAATAAACACTCAGCTTCGCTTCGAGCTTTAATATTAAAACTTTACGCTGTAAAATTACGCTGGAAGTACCGCACGTGAATTTTCCATGTGAAATAAAAAATGCTGCTTTACGAAAATAGGGGTACCTACTTGTTTTAACTCAAAATTAAAAAATCGTCGTTTACTAAGCGTCCACTTCGAAAATAGACTTCAATTATAAACTTGTTTTCTTCCAAAGTATACATTATTATCAATTATTATTGGAAAATAGTTAAAATAATAAAAGTTTAATTGACAACAATTTATTATTAATTAATAAGTGTCAGTAATGACAGAACTAGAGCTTTCAAAAAAAGTAGAGCGGCACAAATAAAGTTACATGCAAAAAAAATCCAAAGTTGGCTAGATGAAAATCATTTATAACCACTCTGTATAAATAACTACCTATTTATTTATCAATTTTAGATACTTAAAAGTTTTAAAAGTTTATGTTTTATGTAAACATTTTAGTAACCTTTAGATGCAAAAACTAAAAAATAAGTGTTTTTAAATTCAAGGTATTTAACTTTTAACAATCTTTTTCATTTTTCAACTTTTTGACTGCAATACTGTTAGACCACTAAAGTATTTTTTAAATGTAAAAATTTGACTTTTTTAGTAATCTTACTTTTATCTTAGTTTTTGTGTGATATATTTTTTTTAAATACAGGGTGCGTCAGAACTCGCGCCCCAGAGAAAATTTTCAAATAAGATAAGATACCAGAAACATGAAAAAAATATTTAAAAATTTTTATCTATCAAAAATTTCTGACATTTATTTTGACATTTGACATTTTTTTTTTATATATATTTAATGACACTAATGATTTTGTATATGTTTTTTTACAATTATTCAGTAAAGGGACAAAAATTTTGCCAATAAAAGCCACAAATAACATTGAACAGAGTTACCATTTAGGATACAGCTTCCTTGTTTCTTCTTTTAATAACCTATAGCAAAAAAACTTGAAAAACTATTTTTCCAACAGAAATAAGTCATAGTGCAAACTGTAAACCCTCATAACTTCGAAATTTTTATAGATAAACTTTTTTAACATTTTTTCCATGTTCCTGGTATCTAACCTTACATGGCATTTTTCTCTGGGGCGCGAGTTCTGGCGCACCTTGTATATTGTTTTTTTAAAGAAATCAAAATAAATAAAAACTAATCAAAATCGATAGTTTAACGTCATCGAAATTAAAAGCCACATCCCAAAAATGCAAAACATAAAGTCACTTTGTATTGTAACTTGTTTTTGGAACACTCAGTATACTTGAAAACAGTTTTCGGTGATGCAATGAGTAATATCTATGCATTTTGTATACACATTTTTGAATATTTTAACATTTCAAGTTCAGTAATTTATTTTTAAGCACTCAAGTATCTTGATTAATGTTAATTTTTTGTATAAATTTAAGAAAACTTTTTAAAGGCTTCAAAAATTTACCTTTCCGACCGGCTTAATCCGCCTCTGTTGTTTATAACAACAAAAGGACATACAGAATAAGTATAAATTTTTTTGATTAAAGTATGTTTTTTACAGAATAATTTTTTAACGATTTTTTATTTGTAAGTTTGCCAAAATAATTATGGTGGGTTGCGCTTTTTGGAAGGGAAAAAATTGCTGGAGGCGGTAAAGAGTTCATTACCGCCCTCGTAAATCTCCGATGCATTCCGGTTTGACATAATTATTTGGCGTCGTTTCCGCTTCGTGCCATAAAAGTCCCGTTACGGGAATGACACACGATATTGATATGCAAATTTGGTTGGTTTTGCGTTTTGTGCATCCCCGATATCGCACCTCGTCTCGCGTAAATCACTCGAAAAAGTGTATTATACAGTAATGTGCGTGATTTACATGATCGGTATACCGGCGTGCACATGGCCGTCTGGTATGGTCTGGTCCAGGGACGGACTTTGCGCCGGCCTCTGGCGACCAAACTTGCGTCGTCGAGAAGAGTCACTCTTCTGTGGAACCCCCAGGGTGCGACCTGAAAAAAAGACACATAAATCACTAATTTTTCAGCAATCAGTTTGTCGCTTTCCATGCAGAATTTTCTTTCCGACCCAATTATTTCCGTCAACAGTCTCAAAGGGATCCTAACGTAAATTGTGATTTTGGCACCGATAACTTTTTACGAGAGAGTCTCTCGAGAAAATTCCGAGAAGTGTGCAAAAATGTCACCTTTATGACACTGACCCGATAAATGAGTCTCGACGGGGGCATTTGTCACACGTTTAACAGGCGATAAAAGTTTTATTTTAAAACAGCTTGTCCCAAAATTAAAATTCGATTATCTTGCATTTAATTTTTTTTTAACACCTAACTCTGAAAGCAGGATAATTAACGTCCGATAGTTGAACTCGGGTAATTAATATATCAAAGAACAAGCGTTTCCTGATAACCTCAAGCTTGATTTATCGTTTTGGCCAAAAAACGCCGTATATTAAATCAACTTTGTTGCAAGTTTTTTAACGAGACAAGGAAATGAGTTTAAGGATGTTAAAGCGGACATTTGCGCGCGGAAATGGTCCGAAAACCCATAAAATTTCTTCGTACTTAAAACTATTAAAATTCTTTGTGCTATTGACCCGACTTTTGATAATGATAATTAAGGCTCGGATTATATGCAAAATGCATATTTGTTATTAAGAGGTATATCAACAAAATTGTAAGTTTTCTATGCATATCTAATGTTTTTTAATTAAAATAAGCCAAATAAAAAATGCATATTTTGCATATTTTGGCAACTTGGTGCATATTTTAGGAAATATTGCATATTTGTGCATATTTTCTACAAATCACTAATTTCCGATTAAAAATTTCAGTTCAAGTTAAAAATTGGACAGTTTATAAAAAATGATCCGATTACAAAATATTTTAAATAGAAAACAACCGGTAATTCGTAAGCCAAACTCAAAAAATTAGTACCCTGCTGAGTGTTTCTTTTTTAAACTGTATTTATCCAAGCGGTTTTTTTAAATCATTTGTTTCCAAAAAATAATAATTAATATAGATTAAAGTAATATAAAAAATTTTAAGAACAAAATTTTGTGTTGTTTTTGAGTTATTTTGCTGTCTAAATTGCGATATATGTAAAAAAATAATTTAATACAAAGTAGGTAATTGTAATCCCTTAGATCATAACCTTCATGAAAACAAATGTTTTTTGGTGGGTTCCCATTTAAAAAAAAATATTTTTGTAAAACTAAATTTCGAAAAAAAATATTTTTGATAAAACATCACATTTTTATAGAACTTTATAATTCATCAATTAGTTTTTTCAAAAAATAAATACGTTTGACTTTTTATTGTTCAAAATTTTGCATATCGATGCTTATTTGGCATAGATTGGAGCATATTTCTTAATATTTTGTGCATATTTTTGTGAAAATACGTGCATATATATGCATATATTTTACGATTTTTTCGTGCATATAATCCGAGCCTTAATAATAATGAACTCGCTAAAAATCAAACAACAAGCTTTATTTCATGAAATATCGACCCTCGTTTGGGCTGATTTATAGTTTAGCACTTTCTTGAGGTACAAAACTCGTGGATGAATTACTCAAGTAATTTTTTACCCAAAAGCTCGAAACTTTACACTTTGTCTGTTTTAACTATTTGCAGATTTCCTCGCGCAATTACATATTTACGACTTTCATTTCCTTTGCCATCCTTGAGCGAGAAAGCAGAGCTTTTGTCCGGTTTTTTCGCCGGAGCAGTAAATCTCCGGTTTTATCTTGGATCAGTCTTGCCGAATTTATCTCCTGTTTTTTCTCGTCGTTGTACTCATGATTCGAAGGCTAACGAAGCGGTTTGAGACATTTGCCTTCATCAAAACGTCTGCAAACAATTAATCAGAAGGAGATTCAATGGAAAAGGCTTGTAGTGGCGGATTAACCGAAACTTTAAACTAATTGAGTTGTGTTTAAATAATCGATTAAATAAAGCTTGAAGAATTTTGAAGGGTTTGATTTGCTCGCGATTTTATTTGATATTGTCACAAGTTGGGGGGATTTTATCTCCGAATCAGCAAAGTTTCAAATAAATGAATTATTGATTGGGCCAAGACTAAAATGATTATTCTGGATCGTGTCCAGTTCAGTAAAATTGATTTTTTACCGAAACATCAAAAATATCGATCACTGTAAATAATTCACAAAGAACTCGGAATAGACGCCAGTAAAATATTTACACAATTGTTCGAATTTCAATGTAAACACGCCTTGATCTTCTTTCAAACTATGTTTTAATTTGGTCGCGAAAACAATTCGAAAAACACCACTTTTAATTAATTTCGGGTGCTGGAAAAGTAATCATTCATGTCGCATGTAGGCGAGTTATTAGTACTCGAATAATAAATGCCCACAACAGGGCATATAAAACACGAGGCATGTTCTAAATAAATCATAGATTTTGCGGTTCGTCTTATAAATAACTCCAAGTTTGTGTGCATTGGAATCGATAAACTGCAATAGCATGACTGAAAAATGCGTGTCATTAACCTGAAGAAAATAGGTTTGTTGAACTGTCATTATTACTTTTCATTGATCTGAAAGCTCGACAAACTCATGCCTCGATTTGTGGGTATTCAGATTTAAATTTTCACCACTTTGTCTCCGATATCACATTTTACATTATAAATAAACTAGGTCAGCGAGTGTAAGGACTTGAAGAGGGTAATAAATGTGGCAACAAAATGGAAACGTTTCACAGATCCACTGGACCTTTTTCGGCTCTCCCTTAATCAATATTTTAATAAAACAATTTTTTAAATTTTTTAAACTTGTTGATTTAGTAGATGTAATTCATTTACAGGTCGATACAGTGTTATTGTATCTATTTTCAGTCGTACACGACGATGAATAATTGACAGTGTACTTTGTAAGCTTTGTTACACAATCGAAGAGAAAAAATTCAGTCTGTAAAAATGTCAGCAATTTATTTAATGAAAATTTTCTGTAGTTTGTGTAATGCTTCCATTATACTCCTAGTTTTTTTGGTAAAATCGATGCGACGTAGAAAGCCCATCGCGGTGTCATTTTAATGAAAAATCGCACTTTTCACACTTTCAGGGATTACTGATAATCACAAATTATTAATTTAATCGATTTTCAGTCAGGGAAATTTACCTACACACTAGGCAGATAATATTTATGTGCGCTAGCACGACCAGAAAAATATTACCATAATTGCTTGATTTCGTTAGATAACGAAAAAAGCTCCCAACTTTAAGCTCATTGATATGTAAAGCACGGCTTGTTTTCTCGACAAACAAACGCAAAACTTGGGTTTAAATTATAACGTTAGTGTGCGAAGAACAAGAATGATTTACGTTTTGTTTTTCAAAATCCGGGGACTTACCGTTGTTTTTTTCCGGTAAAATTACGAAAGTTCGGATTTGTTCATTGTGCGACGCGTTAAACACGTGACCGGCGTCCCGATGCGTCGTGGTAAGCGTCGCGACGTTTTCCACACTGCCGTCCAACTCGCTCCCAACTTTCTCTTGTATAGAAGCTTTCTCGCGCACACTCGGACTTGGGGGTTTCATTGAAAAAAAAGCCAAATCAAGATGTTTACAAATAATCCGGGTTTCCGGTAATTGGACGAAAGCTTATTACCGGATTTTCGCATCCGAGACGTTAAAAAATTAACATAAAAAATTGTAGTGTTTGGTTTAATCAATGTTAGAGGAGCTTTTGAAAAATAAATTATTGGGCTTCAAAATTGGTGAAACCGTGTTTACAAATGGCCTCATTTCTTGTCTTTTTTGCCATTTGTCTCTGTCTGAAATTTTTTTCGTTATAAAATCTGGGTTAGCCACTGAAAGCTGTCGACTTTTATCATATCAAGTTACATAAAAGCTCGCTATCCGCCATAATTTCCACGTCATTGTCACAAACCAAATTTTTCACAAACGATAAACTCCTTCGGTCACTTGTCGTAAATTTCGTAAAAAGTCAAATGTTAATTGCTTACATGAGGATTTATCGTGGGATAAAAGCCATCATCAATTTTCATTTTTGTTTATTGCTCGAGAAATAAGTAAGATGGAGGACTTTCGATGTCCTTGCGAAGGAATATATTGATTCCATATATAAATTAGTTAAGCGAAGTATGTAAGGAATCAATAATGTACCAGTCATTTGATAAAAAATAGATGTGAAATTTTTATGACAGGTTTTATGCGGACATTAAAATTTTGCGATAGGGATTAATTTGATACAAATTCGGTTTAATAGCGGTTTATACATAGAAATTCACTAATTATTATGGATTCGGAGAGGTTCTCGGTATAAACAATGGATGTCAAGTGGAATGTTAGAATTGTACAATAAATTCACTCAGACCCGAGCTTTGGAACACGAAATGTGTTTCTGATTGCGTTTGTGGGACAATAACAAATGCGGGAAGTATCGTTTACCACCCCGGATTTATTTTCAGTAATTCACCGACATTTATGAAACATTTATTTTGCCCGCTTGCAAAAAAAGCTCTTGGAAGTCAATTTCAGTAATCTCATTAACTACCTCGTCCTAGTTCTAAACTTGTCAAAAACCGCATCTTTGTCTTGTGTTAATCCCCTTCTTGGTGCCCCAACCCTTTCTCGGGCCTAATGCCTCTAAACGTCTTCTATCGTAAATCAATCAAACGTCTTCGTCGACAGTAAACAGAAGAGAGTCTGGTAAAATTCACGTCAAATCAATCCAAATTGTTTTATTCAAGTTATATTAAAACGTCGTATTATTTAATCGTCGAAGATTGATGCTTTCAGCAGTTTGTTTGATTCTTTCAGCTTTTATAAAAGAACAAATTGTAAAGTTTATGGAGGGGCCCGAAGTATTTTGTACGAAAGCGTGTGCTGAATTAGTTCGAGAATTTAATTGAGAAACTTGCGATAAGGACTCTTCGCTTTTACTACCTGAAATAACGAGCAAGGAAACGGCCAATGATTTCTCGATGATACTTTGTAAATCCGGACTTATTGTTGAATTTCTTTGTGTGTGGGGCTTGAAGTTGAGTATCAACGCAGGAGTTTTATTTTCCAAGTTGGATGATGTTTTTTGTTGTGGAGTCATAATTTAAAGAATTTTTTTCTTTTTAATGGGAGCTTTCTGTTTATTGTTGAAATTTATTGTTCTCTTTAATTGAGTTTTCTAATCTAAAAGACAAGCCAAAGGCCAATTCCATCAGCGGAGTGGATTAACGAAGCGAATCTCTCTTATTAAATGTAATTAGGTTATCTACAATTGAATTATTGATCTATTTGTTATTTATTTTCTAATTAATCAATCAACGTTAAAAATTCACAAGACTCCAGGGCGAAAATAGATTAACCACGACATTAATAAGAAATTAAAATTACATTTTACTAAAAAAGAAACATCATAATCAAAAATGAAAACATTAAAGTAAATTTATCTTTTCAATAAGAAAAAAACAAAAAGTGTTTATGTAAAACCTATGTGGTGTACAAGATGTCTCATCAAAAAATTATTAGTTATTTACTATTTATATCAATGTTAAAAATTCACAAGACTCCAGGGCGAAAATAGATTAACCACGACATTAATAAAAAATTAAAATTACATTTTACTAAAAAAGAAACATCATAATCAAAGATAAAATCATTAAAGTAAATTTATATTTTTAATAAGAAAAAAAAACAAAAAGTGTTTATGTGTTTATGTGGTGTACAAGATGTTTCATCAAAAAATTATTAATTATTTACTATTTATTAATAAAATTAATATTTAATAATTAAAAAAAATATATTTTTTAAATGTTCATTAACAATTCTACATAATATTTGAGTATGTAAAACAATTCAGAAACAATAATATTCTTTAAACCATTTTCAAATTTTACTAAATACAGCACATACCCTCGAAAATGCTTATAAAAATAATAAAATATATTTTGAGTATTTACATTAATCAGTGAACTTAAAAATTCACAAGTTTTTAACCACAACACTAAGACATTAAAAAATACATTTTATCAAAAAAACAAACATCAAAAAAAAATTTTTAAGTAATTTTTCTCTAATAAAAAGCAAAAACAAATGGACCTTGTGATGATTATTTTAATAAAAAATAATAATGTTGTGTATTTATTAACAATTCAACATAATGTTTGAATGATTCTGTATTTAAAAAAAATTCAAAACAAAATGCTCTAGCCCGGCGCATCCACCATTTTCCATATTTTTTTAAATATTAATTATGACATAAAAAAATATATATTTTGGGTTTTTATAAAAGATTTAAATTAATTAATCAACATTAAAGATTTACTAGGGCAAAAACATTAAAATTACTAAAATATAAAAAATTACAATATTTTACTAAAAAACAAATATCAAAATAGAAAAGAAAAGACAAAGTGTTTACGTACAACTATATGTGGTATATAAGGTGTCTTCAAAGAATTACAGTTATATCTGTACAATTAAGAAAAAGTAAAATTATTTTACAATTTCACTGTGAGTAGTTTAATAAAATGAAGTTTATGTGACATTTTAATTTAATAAAAAAAATATTTTCTTATATATTTATTGACAATTTTACACAACTTTTGAGTCATTCTGTATGTGAAAAAATTTTGAAACAAAGTCTTCTAACTTTGCGCACCACCATTTTTTAATTTAATTTTGTGTTACAAGAATCAGAATGAAAAAAATTTGAGTTTTCAAAACAGAATTCGAAGTTGTGTCTTACATTTTTCTTGAAACCGGCAATAAATTTCGCTGAAATCACGTCAAATGACTGTTTTTCAGCCCCCGCTGAAGTAAATAATAGAATCTCTCGCGTCATGCCTACTAAAATTACACGTTATTATACCAATTTCACGTCACATGGGGTTTCATAATTCTTTCATTGTCGCCGCCCACTGTCCAAGAAAGCTCTTTGAAACCTCTTTGTATGTTATCAATGAGAAAAACCTTGAGAAAACTTCAAAAATTCATTTTTATTTCGGCACAAAACCTCGAGTTTCAGTCGGAATTTGCGCGATGCGGCCTGAAACCGGTAGAGGGCGCCGCGGCGCGGATTTCACCAAATTCCGCCGAACCCTGACCTGTGTTTTTGCAAATTTTTCAAAAATGATGGAAAAAATCGTGAATAAATTATTTAAAATGGATCGATGTTGTGTTTGCATTATTAATGTATTCGTAGACGCACGAAAGTGTTTCGTCAGTCGGTGATGGTCCGAAGAGTGGTGCACAGTTGAGCGTCGGGAGCGTCGCGATGCATCCCCGTATCGGCGTCGACGCCGTTGTTACACGTACCTGAAAAAGCTCTCAGTTACGTCGCGACGCTCGTCATGAGGAGGTCACATGACTCGGCCACAAGTCGATATAAATCAAATAATGATGGATGTGTTTTTGTGAGCGGCGGCTGAAAAATTTCAAGCTTTGCAAGTAAGGAAAAAAATACTTTGGGGATTTTGACACGTGTGACAGCCGGGGTAAGAGCTTTTTCAAAGAGAGAGTAAAGTCATCTATGCGCATTTTGATGTTTAGATAGCGCATTGATTCGATTTGTGTTTTTCTAAATAATTACAGCCAATGGTTTATTTATTGATTTCTTTCACCGGAATTGAGAGAATCGATATTTTAATTTTGTTTAATCGACGGCAATTTTTTCGTAAGTCAAATTAGTTGATTTTTCACTGAGAGTGTATATAAATAAAAGTGGTCCCACTTTATCGATTTAAAAAATTCCTATTATAGAAACTTCTTATTAAACTTTCATAAACATTAACACGAAACACCTGGAGTAATAATTACAACGTGATCGGCTAATTCAAGAGAAATAAGAAATTAATTAATTTTCATGTTGGGATATTTACTTAATTAAGGATAATTCTCTTTTATTAGCACTTTATTTATCATCATGTGAAAAAGATAAGCGGATTTTTTCTTCAACTCCCAAACTTCCTTCACAATTCCCAAAGAATAGACAATGTGAAGTTTGCTTGCTTTTCCGGTGGAAGTTTGTAACAGATGACAATTCCAACCGGACTTTAGTACAACAGACAACGATGAATAATACAAAAACTGAAAACTGAAATTATCCTTTTGATGAAAATTTAATTTTCTTTCAGGGTTTTGATTGATTTTTTGTCATTCTCTATTTACGCATAGATGTAGCTAATTTTATTGTAGCTCGGTTTTTGTGTTCTCGTAATAAATTATCACCGGTATAAAAATAATTTCTGTTTACGCTAACTAATTAGTTTTTACGTCAACGCTACAATTCATTGTTAGACATGAAGCTCTATTTTATTTAATTTAACGGCAGAAAACTGTGAATTATTGAGTGTTTTTTGAAAATTTCTTTTAAATTGCTGATTTATTCCCGGACTTAATTAAATAAATTCAAAGAAAAGAATCTGGAAGTCGAAATGTTTGTTTCCTTCCTCCGGTAATCATTGTGACTTTTTGAGGGTTGGAATTGTCACATTGCGTGTAGTTACAAGGGTGGAGAAATCGCTGTTTATTCTTTTTCCCCCTAATTAATTTATTTCAGGCTTTGTTTATTCTTTTATTGTATTTAAAATCGGCTAAAGTCGAGGCAAATTAATTTATTTTGTGTACGAAAATGGTAATTAGGTTTTATTCTTGGAATTAGTTGCTCTAAAAAAATGCGTGTTAATTTCACGGATTAAAATTTAAGCGTGCACGCGACTTGTAACTTTTTTACCACAAACAGCATCATTGATTTGTTTTATTTTTGAAGTAAATAATGAAAAATTAGTGCGCTGGAAAGACAAACACAATCGGTCCGGATTTGAAATGCTTTCCTTTTTTCATCATTTCCGGTTTAATAAGCGTCTCTTCAACTCTAGCTAGGTCAGCTGTTTCAGGTTTCAGTACAAAGTGCTCTGAAACACGCAACTCTGCAATGTTCTTGCCTCTTTATGGGCGTGATTTGTAACCATTGTCATGGTTTAAATTCCTTAAAAATTTTTGCAGTTCATTTGGAAAACCACGATCGATAACACCCCAATTTGTTTCAGGAAAAATCATTTAAAATTTATCACTACTTGGTTGAAGTATGTGGGAGCGCGCCTGAAAAATTCAATTTTGTTTGGAGGAAATTTCATCTAAACAGTTGGACTTAGTGAAAATGTCTAAAAGTAAATAAAAGTTTTTCCAACATTCCTGATTACTAAAGCAGCAGGACCTGAAAGCTTTTCTCGATGTGAAATCGTTACTTTTTTTATTATTTCGGTGTACGGTTAATTAAACGCAAAAGCCAACAAACATCGGCTTAAATTTAGTTCGACCTGCCATAAAGTAAACGCTCCCAACTTGATTATCTGCTACTTGATGGACCAAAACGTCGTTCTATTTGTGTTGTAACGTTAATTTTAGACCACTTACAGGCCGTATTTCTCTACAGCTTAATTTTGCGAAAAAATAAATCAACTTTAAGTTGGTCGTGTCCGTAGAGACTGAGGATTTTCACATTTTCACATCTCATGTTTGTTTCAGCTTTTTGTTTTTCTTTGTTGGAAAATATTACTCTTGAGAACGCCGGCTGTGCTACGAACCTCGAAGCGATTTTAATTAAAAGCTTTGAAACGGCTTCATTTCGCTACAAATTTATTATTATTTATCAAAACCGACCGGAAAAACGTCAATAATTATTTCAAGTATTACAACTTGAATAAAAACTGAAAATTTTCGTGTTTTTTTACATCAAATGCAACGCAAAATTCACTCGTGCACACCGAATTAACTCTAATTAAACAGTTCGTTTTTAATTAATTACAGGGAAATGCAGCATCTGCATAAATTAATGTTGGATGATTTCGAGTGAAAAAATTGTTATCACACAGTAAACACCAGGCTTATTGATAATTTAGATAAAACCGTAAAATAAATAAATTTTCATTAATAATTGATGTAACTTTGTTACATCAAATAAATGTAATAAACTTACCCATTTCTTCATTAATTTGTTAAGTGTTGTCAATCGATCGCAAGAAGACGGCGAGTAAGAAAGCCGAAACTGTAATAAAACGCGTCAGCAGACTTACTGACCTTCCTCTTGTAATTTGAAGCAATCACAAAGTTGGGCCGTTCTGTAAAAAAAATAAAAATTTCATTAGGATACTTTTGATTTTGATCCGATTTGACATGATGTGAGAATGGATTTTCGGTCTCTCGTAAGGAATGCATTTCAATTTTCTCTCATGCCACGCAATCGTCTATCTTGATAATTCAATATCGTAGAGCTGGTTTAAGGGTTGTAAACCTCAAGCGTGAACGGTGGTTGAACAAAATTGTGCCAATCTGTTTTGTGCGCGAATATTTAACTGGAGTTTGTTTACAGACGGAAACGGTTAAATTATGAGTTTGGCTCGAATGGAAAACTAGATTAGAGAGTATCTGGTTTTCAAATGAAGTTTTCAAGTATTTTTCAGTTTTAATTCAATGCAGAATGTTTTAATGAAATGAGAAATGACGATTGTTTAGAGTTGGAGCGATATTGGATTACGGAAAAGCGAGAAATTTATTATTTCATTAGAAGCCGTAAGATTATCGGCGATTTGAGAGCATTACAATGCGAAAAATAAATCGCTGGGCAAATAACATGACAGAAATGACATTTACAGATCGATTTATGGTTCACTGCAAAGTGGAGACACTTTTTAAATAATAAATCAGCGATTTTCCAATTTGAAAAATTAGTAGCTAAAATAATTTTGTTGAAATATTGGGTTTAAGTGTACACGTGGATAAAACTAATCACAATTTCAATAGAACGCACTTGTATTAAAAAATACAAGAGATCTGACTAACTTACTTGATTTAAACACTGATTGTGTTACTGATTGTACTTAATTTTTTTTATTTGTATACAAAATATAATCTAATAAATCTAATTATAATTTTGACAGAGCACAAAAAAACTTTTTGTTTCTCTTTTTTGTAATCAAAATGAATTAATAATAAATTATTTAAGCTAAAGTAATTCCATTGAAATATTGAAAATGCATCGGATTTGATTTACGATGCTTTGTCCCGCTTTGTTGAAATTGTGTTAAAATGTACACATAAATAAATTCAATTACAATTTCAACAGAGCGTACAATGGTATCAAAAAATACAAGGACTTTACACATTTCAAACACTTGTACCTACTTAAACATTTTTTTTTTCATTTGTAGAAATATATTATGCAAAAGATAAATCTAATCACAATTTCGACTAAGCCCCAAAAAGATTTTATTTTTTATTTCAGTTAAAATGAATTTAAAAATTAAAAAAATGTTTAAGTCAAAAAAAATTATTGAAATATTGAAAATGCATTGGATTTGATTTACGATGCTTTGACTCGCTTTGTTGAAATTGTGTTGAATTTCAAATACTTTTTTTATTTGTAAAAATCTGTTATACAAAAAATAAATCACAATTTTGGCGAAGCGCCAAAAATGTTTTAGTTTCTATAAATTTTTAACAATTAAAATAAGTAAAAAATTAAAAAAAAATGTTTAAACTAGAATACATAATTTTGTTGAAATATTGAAAATGCATCGAATTTGATTTACGATACTTTGTTTTGCTTAATTGGAACAAAAAAAAAATCTATTACACAAAAGATAAATTTTATGACAATTTTGGCTAAGCACCAAAAATCTTTTTTGTTTCCATAAATTTTTAACAATTAAAATGAGTTTAAAAATTTTTTAATAATTATTTAAACTAAAATAATTTTTTTGAAATATTGAATTTGATTTACGATGCTTTGTTTTCCTTTATTGGAATTGTGTTTAAATGTAGACATAATCACAATTTTAACAGAGCGCACAATAGTATTAAAAATACAAAAAAATCACTAACTTAAACATTCCAAATATTTTTGAACTTAAAAATTTTTGTTTTAATTTGTGAAAATATATTATGCAAAAAATAAATCTAATTACAATTTCAACTAAGTCCCAAAAAGTTTATATATTTTTTTTAATTTTGTAAGTTACTGGATTAAAGAAATTTTAATTTTTTTAAAATATTGAGAATATTATACGATATTTTGTCTCGCTTTGTTGAAATTGTATTTAAATATACACATGGATAAATCTAAACACAATTTCAACAGAGCGGAAAACGGTATTAGAAAACTTCGAAGAATTTTACTAACTTACACATTTGAAACACTTTTCTCAAAAGATATTATGCAAAAGATAAATTTAATCACAATTCCAACTAAGCTTAGAAAGCTTTATAAATATTTAACAGTTAAAATAAATTTAAATAAAACATTATTATTTTGTTAATGGTATTTTGATTTCAAATCCGGAGTAGATTTTTCATGAAAATTATTTATTTAATAATAAAACGCTATAAAAACACTTAGCCTGTTTATTTTGTTTATGGATTTAATTATAAGCAAAGTTTTATCGAAGAAACGACGTTTTAGCTTAGTGATTTGTGTAATTACGGCCATTCTCGCAAATTTCCTATTCCAAGTGTAATAAAGTCTTTATTTATAATCCCGTGGCAGTTAATCTTTCGATAGTTTACAGAAAACTTTAAAACCTCATAGCATGGTTAAATTTATCACCGTTTTGGTACAAAACTCACCGAAATTTCCCAAAATTTTCACTCAACACTCGATGATAGTGGATGCAAAGAACGGATCAAGCAACGACGCTGATTAATAATTAAAAAACCAAGCGGCGCTACTTGATCAGTTTCTCACATCCTGAAAAAAATTCTGAAATTTTTTTTTTGACACACACACACGAGACTGATGCTTGTGGTTATCCAAAATTGTGGGAAGAGAATGCCTGAACAGTTATTAAAAAAAATGTTCGGGCAGACTCCAGACACAATTTCGAACAACCTCGACACTAATTAGACTGAAAGTCCGTCTGGATGACCACTGACTTAGTTGCATTTCCCTCCACTTGCCTTTTTTGGATTGGATATTAAAAGAAAACAAGATAACAATAGTGCATATATGCAGCAAGCCGATTGGTCGAGAATTGCTTATGCAATATTGTGCACATTTGGATTTTTCTCGAAAAAATTCGCTAAAAGCAATCCATCAAAATTTGGGTTTATTTGTTCGGTTACTTTATGTTTCCTGGGGTCGTAAATCGAACCTTGTTTGATTTTTTTGGTAAAAACACGCTCATGAATCAATTTCATTGATCGGATTTATTATTGATTAGCACCCTTAATTGGGTCACGGGAGGGTTGTGGGGGTAAAAATAAACAAAAGCCTTGAATTTCGACTTGATTTATTATTAATTTTATCGCTGGGTAAATATCGCTTTGTTTTCTAGAAACAAAAAAATAAGCGGAAAGCTAAATTCCTTCAGTCGTATCACAATGAATCAGAAACAGATGTTCAGTGTGAAATTACAAACATGATTGTTAGACACCATTACCTTTAATGAATCATTTGATAAAGCCGTCTGACATTTAATCCAAGTCAGACTTAATTAATGGAATCCAGATTGAGTCAATCACGAAAATTGGAATTTTCACCGATATTTATTTATCGGTTGCTGGGGTGAACCGAAATTGTGGTTTTTTCAGTAGCGTGAATGAAATATTTATTTCAGCCTGTGCTTTGGCATGTCAAATGTTTGTTGATCGCAATAGTAATTAATAGACAAGCTGAAAAATCAATTCGACAAAGGTCGTGCTATGTAAACAAAGTTCAGTGGCGGTTTTAAAGCAAATGTTAATTTCATGTGCCTGAAAAAATGTCATTGTTATGTTTTGGGGTAATGAAGTGAGTTACTTTGTCGTGGGTGTTTCTATTTATGGCCTATATCAATTATTGAAAAAGATGAAAGGTCGGGAAATGCATTAGTCGATATTTCTAGAAATTGTTTCAAAAAATGTAAAGAAACGTCATTTCAACCAAGAGCGTAATTAATCAACTCAAAGCATTTGAGAATAACGTGCAAATGTATAATTTGATATAATTAATTCTCTCAAGTCAGTCCTCAATTTGAGTATAAAGGCCAAACACCAACTTCCTACAAAACATCTGTCATCCCCAGGGACGCATTCGAATTGTTAGCAACAGTTCTAATCAAATAAAACAAGAATTGAGTCCACAAAGCAGAAAAATAATGAGCAAATAAAATTTTTGTCGTTAATACAATTAAATTTCTGCTATTTTATTGTTGTTGTCTTTTATCCTGAAATCTCTCTGTTATTATAACTCCGGTAAAGCCATCTAACTCGGGTTTATCCTTCCAGTTCTCGTAGCTCATGCAACCCTTGGCCATTTGTTTGCCTTCTCGATAGATTAAATCAACAAATCTGGTGTAATCCTTGCACGTAAACACTGTTAAGTCGTAAAGTCCATAATTCGATTGTGATAGTTTGATTTTTCAGGGAAAAAATGCGAAGGCGGAAACATTCCGGATTCTTCCAGTGACCGAATCCGGGAAAGCGACGCCGCCATGTTAGGGGCAACACCGGATTTCACGTGCAGCTAATATGTTCTTATTGGCTGCCGTCTCATTCTTACTAAGTGCCGGATTAGCAGGTAAAAATTTTCTCAACAATTTTCGCTGAAAAGTAGCTCAATTTTCGCGTTCTTTTGTGTGGTGCTTGACTCATTAATATGTATTGTGCTGGTCCTGGTCCAATATTTGAATAAATGGTCTCTCGGGAGCGAGAAAGGCGTCCGGTTTAAAATATCCAACTTAATGTAAATATGTTCCCACTTTCATCTTTTAGACGAGCAAAGAGAATCGCAAAATAAATAATAAATCAAACGACTTTGGGACGAATTGAAAGTGAGCAAAAAATTTCATGTTTGAGTAATTAATTAATTTCTGTTTGTTTAAATATTGGAATTTATATTTTAAATGGTTATTTCAGGCACAATTAGGTCACGTCGAAACTCTTAAATTAGAAAAATTTCAAACTCAATTAATCATTTTTATAATAACGTTATAGCTCTATTGGTGACGTGTTTATTTACGGAGAAATTCGGGGTTCTTTCAAACTTGTGTAAATTATAAAAATCAATCGATAATGCATGATAACCCACACAAAAGAAAATTGACGGATAAATTCAGTTTTGTTGATTGTTACAACAAAAATAGTCGACATTTGAATAAAAGTAAAGGGTTTTAGTTGAGTTTTATTACTGACACGAGACAAATAAATTGCGCTCGCAGAAAAAATATTACAGCTGCAAATGCAACCAACGTCCATTCTGAATCAGATTAAAAATACCAAAAGCAGGAAATTTTTGCTTTGATACAATTTTTCAGCGACTTTTTTTAATGCACTGGTCGCGATTTTATTTTAAATAAAAACCTCTCATTTAGTTATGATTTCCACTAGGCTGAGATAAATTTGAGGAGGGGGAAATTTAGAACACTGATTGGTGGAAGTGAAATGAGAGGCAATGAGCGCCCAATCAGAAGTAGCAATTTTGAGGCTCCCCTCCTCTGTAACTGTCTCTACACCATAAATGTTTTTTTAATGACCATGATATTTTTATTCAATTATTTATATTGTAAGGGAGAGAATTCCTCAGGGTTTTCATAAACGTCCAACTTTCTGGAACAATGATCGATTGAATTCAAGTTTTAAGATTTGGGCAAAAAAATTATTTTTTATCTTAAAATAAAGTTTTGTTTGGTGGCATTTCCTGGAAAATCGCGTCTTTCCAGTTCAATAAAACAAGTCGGGAAAGTTTAGTCAAATTGCCGCTTGAAAAACCCGTCACTTTTCCATTTTCCCACTTGCACAACAATTTTTCAAAGTAAATTTGTAACGTGCTTGTGTCGAAGAGAGTTGATTAGAGAGAAATTTGTTCTAATTTTGTTGCAGGTGTGATGCAGATTTTTGTTTTGATATAATTACACAGTCGTGATTTTATTTTCAGTAAAAATCTCTCATTTCAATGACACACAAGAAAGTTTTCAGACTAGATTGCGTGTACCAGACTGAGATAAATTTGTGGAGAGGGAAATTTACAACGCTTGATTGGTGGAGGTGAAATGAGCGTCCAATCAAAAGTAGCAATTTTGAGGCTCCCCTCCTCTGTAACAAATCTCTACACCCTAAATGCATTATATTTATTAATATTTTAATGACTATAATATTTTTATTCAACTATTCATATGGTAAGAGAGAAAATTCCTCAAGGCTTTTATATACGTCCAACTTTTTGGGAACAATGATCGATTAAATTAAAGTTTTAGGATTTGGCCTAAAAAATTATTTTTTATAAAGTTTTGTTTGGTGGCATTTCCTGGAAAATCGCGTCTTTCCAGTCCAATAAAACAAGTCGGGAAAGTTTAGTCGAACTGCCTCTTGAAAAACTCGCCTTTTCCGTCACTTTTCCATTTTCCCACTTGCACAAAACAAATTCTCAAAGTAAATTTATCACGTGCTTGTGTCGAAAAGAGTTGATTGGTTCTAATTTTGTTGCAGGTTTGAAACAGATTCAGCGATATTTTTTTTATAATGCTATAGTTGTAAAAAAAAATCTCTCATTTCAATGCCACACGAGAAAGTTTTCAGACTAGATCGCGTCCACCAGGCTGAAATAAATTTGTGGAGGGGAAAATTTACAACGCTTGATTGGTAGAGGTGAAATGAGCGTCCAATCAGAAGTAGCAATCTTGAGGCTCCCCTCCTCTCTAACAATCTCAAACCCGTAATTATATTTATTAATATTTTAATGACCAAAATATTTTTATTCAACTATTCATATGGTAAGGGAAAAAATTCCTCAGGACTTTTATAAACGTCCAACTTTCTGGAAACAATGATCGATTGAATTGAAGTTTTAAGATTTGGGCAAAATATAATTTTTTATCTTGAAATAAAGTTTTGTTTGGTGGCATTTCCGGGAAAATCGCGTCTTTCTAGTCCAATAAAACAAGTCGGGAAAGCTTAGTCGAACTGCCACTCGAAAAACTCGCCTTTTCCGTCACTTTTCTCAACAATAACAACAATTTCTCAAAGTAAATTTGCCACGTGCTTGTGTAGAAAAGACTTGATTAGAGAGGATTTTGCCTTTTTTTGTTGCATATTTTTGATTTTTGCGACTTTTTCATAACGCAATTTTAACGCCACACGAAAAATTTTTCAGGAAGGGAGAAATTCACAACGTTTGATTGGTGAAGGTGAAATGAAAGATAATGAGCGCCCAATCAGAAAGAACAATCTTGAGGTTCCTCTTCTCTGTAACTATCTCTACACTGTAAACCATTATATTTATTTTTGAAATGAATATAAAAAGAAAAATTGTTTTAATATCAGAGAAAATTTCTCAGGGTTTTGATAAACGTCAAACTTTCTTAGAATAAAACGATCAATTGCATTCAAGTTTTAGGATGTGGCTAAAAAATTAATCTGAAATATTTTTTTAACTTAAGTTTTCGTTGAAAAATTGCGTCTTTCCAGTCTTATAAAACAAGTCGGGAAAGTTCAGTCGAACTGCCGCTTGAAAAACTCGCCTTTTCCGTCAATTTTCTATTTTCCCACTTGTACGACAATTTCTCAAAGTAAATTTGTCACGTACTGTGCCGAAAAGAGTTGATTAGGGAGAATTTCGTCCTAAATTTATTGCAGATTCGACCCCTATAAAAATATCAAAACAGAATTTTTTTTATAATGCCCTGATAGTGATTTTATTTTGAGTAAAGATCTCTTATTTCAATGCCGCACAAGAAAGTTTTTATACTAGATCGCGTCCACCAGGCTGAGATAAAGTTGGGGAGGGGGAAATTCATAACGCTTGATTGGTGGAGGTGAAACGAAAGACAATGAGCGCCCAATCAGAGAGAGCAATTTTGAGGCTCCCCTCCTCTGTAATTATCTCTACACCGTAAACGCGTTATACTTAGTTATGAAATGAATACAAAGAAATTGTCTTAAAAATAGTGAAAATTCTTCAGGGTTTTGATGAACGTCAAATTTTCTGAAAACAATTAATCTAAAAGTTTTTTTTTTTGAAAAATTGCGCCTTTCCAGTCTAATAAAACAAGACAGGAAAGTTCAGTCAAACAGCCCCTTGAAAAATCGCTTTTTCCATCACTGTTCCATTTTCTCAAAGTAAATTTGTCAAAAAGAGTTGATTAGGGAGGATTTCGTCTTAATTTTATTGCAGGTTCGATGCCCGGTGGTCCCGGGGTTCCCGAGAACATCACCGTAACTTTCCTCAATCCGACTTCCGTGAAGGTTTCTTGGTCGACATCCGTCGTAAATGTGGACAAATACGACGTCACTTATAAACCGACAGATGCCAGGTATTTAAATTTTGTCTCGTTTGATTAGTTTGCATCGTTTAAGTATGAATCGATCGCTTCGCACGCGACTTGTATTATTGAGAGAGGCGATTTGTGAGTCGATATGGGGCGAAATATAAGGGTTTTGTTCAGTCGGGATTGTCACTCGAGTCGGGGTGGCTTAGCGATCGATCATAGGCATTTATTGCGTTGTGTGTGTGTCTGTGACGAGGAGTCTCTGAGGATATTATATCTGTATATCGGTGCTTAAATTTATTAGAGTGTAGTTATGGCTTATGAAAAATGCAGCGATAAGTGTTCCCTTGTTTCACTGCGTTGTTAACTTTGTTGCTTTAATCCATGTTACATGGGGAAATATGTTGGTAATCCGGAGTATGCCTTCAGGCGGCATGAATTTCATACAGAGAGGATCTTGTAACGAGTTAGGTACTCGGCGAATATACTCGTAGAAGAAGTAATGAGACCACTTGGCACGATTCTTTTCATTTGTTTGAGGATATTTGAGAAGAAGTAGCGAAAGGGGATTAATGAAGTCGGTCTGTTTCATATATTGTGAGAAACAGATATGAATTTTGATAAACTCGTTACAAGTTTCACACTGGAATTAAATTACATTATAGTCGGATTTGCAAAAGTTGAAATTAATGGGGTTGGTGGATGTTACACAGCAGGTTGTGCAAAATCAACAAAGTTTTGTTACAGTCAAACAAAAATTAATGAAAAATTTAAAAAAAACAAGAAAGAAATACATTAAAGATTAAGTTTTTTGAGGATATTAAGTAAAAATTGTGGAACAACTTTTTGTCGCAGAAGCGCGTGAAATATGGTAAAATCACACGATAGGTTAAAATGCTCTACAATGAGTAGTTTTTGAAATATACTATATCTGGTTGTGGCAAAAAAATCAAAATTTTTTGAATTCTATCTGATACTGATAGTTTCTGATAGTGAGAATTAATATTTTTGCTATTTTTGATTTATTAGCAATTTTCTCAATAACTATTTTACGTAGGACAATAATCTTTTTTTGTAAGATAGAAAATTAAAGTGTTTTTAGCTGTCGCTAATAATAAGTAATTCCGGAGTAATTGACAATAAACCTCTTCAAGTATCGAAAATTGCCCAAAATTTTGGTAAAAATCTAAAAATGGAAAAGTTTAAAATTGATTGAAGTGCACTTCAAGGAGACTAAAAACGCCTGAAACGTCGTAAAAAACAAAAATTGAAGGTTTTTGAAAATTTAATTTGAAACATCAAGTAAAATTTTGTAGCTTAATAAATTTTAATCCTATTAGAAGCTCGTTATAGTAATAAAGCACAAATTTTTAAAATTTTGGGGGCCAAAAACGGTCCAATTTTTTTTTGTGTGTACAGAATTTATAAATTTTGGCAAACTTATAACTCAATTATTTAAAGTTTACTTAGTAAAATGTTTCGGAAAGTCGATTAGCGTCAAGAAAAGAGCAAAATTCGCATTAGTTTCCGAGTATTGAAAAACGACTAAAATTTTGTCAAGAAAAGGGAAAATTGAAAACTTCAAAATTGATCGAAATGATGTCCAAAAGTGCAGAAAAAGTTGTAGGATAAAGAGTTTTTTATATTATATATTAAGTAAAAATTGTTGAACAACTTTTTGTCGCAGAAGCGCGTGAAATATGCTAAAATCACACGATAGGTTAAAATGCTCTACAATGAGTAGTTTTTGAAATATACTATATCCGGTTGTGGCAAAAAATCAAAATTTTTGGAATTTTATCAAAAACTGATGCTGATAGTTACTGATACTTAAAATTAATATTTTTGCTATTGTTGCTTTACCAGCAATTTTCTGTATAACTATTTGCCATAGGACAATAATCTTTTTTTTATAAGATAGGAAATTAAAGTGTTTTAGCTGTCGCTAATAATAATTCCGGAATAATTGCCAATAAACCCCTCCAAGTACTGAAAATTGTCCAAAATTTTGTCAAAAATCTAAAAATGGAAAAGTTTAAAATTGATTGAAATGCACTTCAAAATTCTCATTAGTTTCCGGGTATCGAAAATCGACTAAACTTTTGTCAAAAAAAGGCAAAATTGAAAACTTCAAAATTGATTTAAATACCCTTCTAGAGGTCCAAATTGCAGAAAAAGTTGTAGTATAAATTTTAGGGACTCGGAAAAAGTGCATAAAACGTTATTGGGGGGCATATGAGAAAAATCAATTTTTTTATAGAAATGACAAGATTGTGTTTCAATCTTGATAATACAAAATACTATACTTATCAAAAATACGAAAAATTGAAATCATTTAGAAACCGTCCAATAGGTAAAAAGTATTGAGAGTCTTTATTTTCTCAAAACATTTTTATATTACTGAAAATTATTTAATAAACCATTAATATTCTGTGTAAAATTAGAAGTGTGATTCGTGAAGAAACTGAACGTGATATCTACATTGTTTTCATTATTTTTTCAGTACTCAGCACCCGAAAAAAGACAACTTTAACATCACAAGTTTGTTATCTTTGGCTTATCAGAATTTCCGGATGTAAATCCGGATTCGACTTTAAACTTTTTTTAGTATAGTGCGCTCGATCAAAGCGACAAGGTGTAAGTTTCTAAGAGAGAATAAACGAGGAATTCGATTTCTTTTTTATCTATAAACTACAGTTTTAAGAAGCGACAAACAATATGGCCTTCGGGTTTACTTTATTTTACAGAAAATCGTTTGCTGTTGTCGACTTTCATTGCATTTTGCATTGCATTTCAATTATCACAATAAAATTCTCGATTTTTGTAAATTTTTGGAGGATATATAAAACGGTTAAAATATGATTTTAGGCGTTTTTTTTATTCAAAATTAGGTAAATAACAAAACGTATCAAAATTTTCTGTATAATATAATTGCTGTCTATTTTCAGCCCAAATTCTGATTTTAATTTGTTCAGAAATTGAAAAGAAAATTAATAAAAAAATGACAATTTAAATTTCTTTCTTGCTGTTTAATTTATAGAAATTTGAGTTTAGAGCGTAGCGATTTCGGTTTTTTTATCGAGTTTTCAATTTGACAGCGCATTACAAATGGTAAATGATGTTGGTTTAGATTGTTCTCAAATATTTATTGCCCACAAGTAGTTTCCTACAAAGCAATGAACGATTTAGCACCTGTGAGAATTTCCTCCATTTATTACGACCCAAGCAGCATTGTATACTATGTCCAAGTAAAAAAAATGAGATAATCCCAAGACATCTGTGACCTTTAGAAAGTTAAATAAAAAGTTTTCTTTACCCATGAGGGCCATTATCATCTAGTTTTCCTTTTAAAAGCAGTCACTATTTCAATTTTCAACCCCGGATTTAATAAACCCTAGTTTAAAAATACACGTATTATCCGTTCTGTAAAAATGAACGTGAAACTCTCTCGAGACCTCGTTTCTCGTAACTTCATCATAGGATTCTGCTAATACCCTCCCTCGACGCTCTCTCCATCCACTTTCATCCCTCTTCACTTCCAACATATTTTTTTAAATTTTTTTCGTCTTCTGCTTCTGCTTAGTGCCGCAAACGTCGCCGGTATAATTTCAATAAACAGGTTGTTAGTTACAGAGTGGTGGCGGTGGTTGCGGGAAATTCGGACGCTGTGACTTTAAGTGGATTAAAAGCGGACACTCAGTATCAATTGACTGTGGCCGCCGTTTGGGGTCGCAAAAGATACAGAAGTAGGCCAATCGTCTTCCGCACATTGGGTAAGAAACATTGGTAAATAACAAGAGGGGAGGATGTAAGGGTTGTGTTAAATCCTTCCCTCTTTTTGGTGGTGTCGGTTATGCTTTGGTGTAGTGTTTCGATGTCGGTTCGAGGCGAAAGAAACTTTGTGAACTGTGCGTAGAGCTCATGTGTGTTCCAGAGCCACCGCGCTCGTCCCCACAACAGGACCCCATGGCGACGCTTCCCACCGACTCCCCGGCGACGAGGGACGACGCTGAGGCCGTCGATATGCCCGACTACACCTACCCGCAAACCAGCTCCACGGTAATTTCTTCCATCCATCACCGAAAGGCTTTTTATATTTTTTTTATTTTTTTAAATCTAAAATCTCTAAAAAGTACTGTTTTAAATGAATAAAAGATTTACGTGCGGCAGCGCCGCGAGCTCCCATAAAATCTACCAAACATTTGGGAATCCGATAGAATTTTTAAATGATAATTTGTAAAAAAGAATTTTAAATAGATTTTTTTTACAGAAAATCGTCTAATATTTTGGGTTTCAATTATTAAATCACAATAAAATTCTTGACTTTTAGAGAATTTTGGAGGATTCATAAAACGGTTAAAACCCGATTTCAAGCGTTCTTTTTTTTGGAAATTGGAAAAATAACAAAACTTAGCCAAATTGCTGTCTATTTGCCACAAATTTGGATTTTAATTTGTTTATAAGTTGAAAATTAGTGAATTAGTAAAAAAGTGACTTCAAACTACGTGTTTTCTTTTTTTTAATTTGTTTTTTTCCTGTTTAATTGTAGCAAATGGGTTTTTTGTCGAGTTTTTAATTTAACAGCGCATTACAAATGGTAAATGATGTTGGTTTAGATTGTTTTCAAATATTTATTACCCACAAGTAGTTTCCTGCAAAGCAATGAACGATTTAGCATCTGCGAGAATTTAATAATTTTTATTTTTTAAAATCTAAAATTTCTAAAAAGTACAGTTTTAAATGAATAAAGGATTGCAATTTCGATAGTGTAAGTACGGGGGCGAACGGCAGCGCCGCGAGCCCCCATTAATTCTATCAATTCTATCCCAAATTTCATTTGGGAATTTAATAGGATTTTACCACAATTTTTAAATGATAATTTGTAAAAAAGAATTTTAAATAGAATGTAAAAAGGGCCAATTTTTTTACGGAAATTCGACTGTTGTTTTCGACTTAAATTGCATTTTGCACATTTTGATCACAAAAAGTTTGATATTTTGTGTTTCAATTATTAAATCACAATAAAATTCTTGACTTTTGGAGAATTTTGGAAAATTCATAAAACGATTAAAACCCGATTTCAGACGTTCCTTTTTTGGAAATTGGAAAAATTACAAAATTTTACTAAATTTTCTGTTTATTTTCGTCCCAAATTCGGATTTTAATTTGGTTAAAAGTTGAAAATAACATTAGGTAATAAAAAAGTGACATAATTTGAATTTCTTCAAACTACGTATTTTTTTTTAATTTATTTTTTTCCTGTTTAATTTAAAGAAAAATTATATTTTTTTTGGAAATTGGGAAACAGCCAAATTTTCTGTCTAATATAATTGCTGTCTATTTTTGTCCCAAATTCAAATTTTAATTTGTTAAAAGTTGATAATAACATTAGTAAAAAAGTGACATAATTTGAATTTCTTTAAACTACGTGTTTTCTTTTTTTTAACTTGTTTTTTTCCTGTTTAATTTATAGAAATTTGAGTTTAGAGTGTAGCGATTTCGATTTTATATCGAGTTTTCAATTTGACAGCGCATTACAAATGGTAAATGATGTTGGTTTAGATTGTTCTCAAAAATTTATTGCCCACAAGTAGTTTCCTGCAAAGCAATGAACGATTTAGCGTCTGCGAGAATTTAATAATTTTTATTTTTTAAAATTTAAAATCTTTAAAAAGTACAGTTTTAAATGAATAAAAGATTTCCAATGCCATTAGTTAAGTCCTACACGGGGAGCGAGCGGCAGCGCCGCTAGCCCCCATAAACTCTACTAAACATTTGGGAATTCGATATTGAAATATCAATTTGTAAAAAAGAATTTTAAATAGAATGTTAAAAAAATGACCATTTTAATAGTCGAGCTTGCTTTAGTAGAGAAAAATCAAGATTAAGAATTCCAGTTCGAGCTAAACTCCGCGTTAAGAAAAGTTTTTATAACTTTAGAGTAAAGTTTAAATTACTTTCTCGATTTAGCTGAATGTTTTATGATTATAAAAGTGTTAAAAAATTGCGATCCAGGTGCGAGGGGTCGAGATAGGCATCGTCCTCTTGGTGCTGCTCGTCTGGGTGGCGGCGATAGCTTTGTTCTTCAATCGATGGGGCAAAATCCGTATGCTGCTTCCCTATCAGCCGGATTACAAGCAGGAGCAGCTCAAGGTGCCGGGGACGGCGGCTTGTGCGGCGGCGGTGGCATCGGGCAACACCTGCACACATCATTCCGGCGATCATCTCTGCCAGCAGGTGATTACTTTGGCCCAAAATGCGAATTTCATGACAATAAAACGACCGTTTTCGACCCAATTCTGTCGTATTGATGCAAGCAACTTGAGCAAAACTTGTGATTAGATTTGCCAAGTTGTATGACGTTCGAATTAATGGAAGTTGATATGAAGGAAATTGCGTCATGATGATTGCAAACAATGCGATTCACACAAGAAAAACGGTCGTTTTGTTTCACTTTTCCCGAGTAGTGAGAAAACTCCTTCCTTTCCATCCGATCGATACATTATTACAATATATCCATGTCACAACGAAATTTCCACGTCGATGCGGTTATTATTTCCACGCGCCATCTGCTAAACATCATCTAATTATAAATACCAAGGTGTGTTATTCATTATTATCGCACACCGTTTATCATGTTTCGCTACGTTGCCGCATTTATATATTTGTAAACAGAATTTAAAAAGTTCGATGACTCGATTTTATAGGAAATTAACGAGGTGAAACAGTGTTTAATTTCCTGGATTTTGTGATAAGGGTCGAGAAACTCAAATTTATATAAATGATTCGAATTGGTGATATTAGAAGCGAATCGATTCCTTGTGTCTTGAGGAAAATTGAAATAAATGACTCTTGTTAGCCACTTGAAAAAGTCTATTTCTCCGTTAAATCCTTTTTTTGAATGTATTGATTCATTCATTGTTTCTATACGAAAGCACAAAGTTTAGAAGAGTCACACAATTGACAATTAGTACTTAGTAACTGTCACTTGACAGTTAGTATCTGGCAATTACTAACTTAGTAACTGTCAATTGACAATTTAAAACAAAAATGTCGAAACATAAATGATATTAACAGTTACTAACTGACGGCAAATGTACTATTTAATAGTTACCACTTAAAATCTGGCAATTGACTATTATTAAATGACAATTGACAGTTACTAAGTGGCAGGTCACAATTACTAAGTATTGTTTGGCGTTCACTAACTGTCAACTACCGGTTACTACGTGGCAGTTTCCACTTATTAACTTTGCCACTTAGAATCTGACAATTGACACGTCTTAAGTTGACAGTTACTACTAATTGGCAATTTTTGCCTTCTAACTTTGCCACTAAGGGTCGGTTTATAGAAGCGTCGTTAAATTAATTGCAATCAAACATCAGATTAACTGATCACATGACCAAATTGAACCAACCAGATGCTCAGATTAACCGGTTGAACGCGCATTAACTTTTAAGAACGAATGAATTTTTAATTCGCTTTCTACAAACCAACCCTTAAAATCTGGGAATTGACAGTTACTAAGTGGCAGTTGACAGTTACTACTAAATTGGAATTTTCTCTTACTAACTTTGCCACTTTGCCACACTGGCAATTGACAGTTACTAAGAGGAAATTTACAATTACTAGGTGGCAGTTGACAGTTACTGATTATCATTTTCCATATACTAACTGCCAAATGGCGGTTACTAAGTGTCAATAAACAATTACGAGGTGGCACAATGACAATAATTTTTAAGTGACTAACTTATCTTCTTAGAATCTGGCATTTGACACTTACTAAGTGGCAACTGTCAGTTATTAAATACCATATACTAAGTGTCAATTGCCAGTTTGTAAGTGACAATTCACAATTACCTATTAAATGGCAATTGACAGTTACTGAGTGACAGATAACAATTACTAAGTATTGTTTGCCATACACTAACTGTCAACTACCGGTTACTAAATGGCAATTTCCACTTATTAACTTTGCCACTCACGTCTTAAGTGGCAATTGACAGTTACTAAATGGCAGTTGACAGTTACTACTAACTGGCAATTTTTGCTTACTAACTTCGGTTTATAGAAGCGTCGTTAAGTTAATTGCAATCAAACAACAGATTAACTGATCACATGACTAAATTGAACCAACCAGATGCTCAGATTAACGGGTTAACGGCGCATTAACTTTTTTATTCGCCTTCTATAAACCAACCCTTAAAATCTGGAAATTGACAGTTACTAAGTGGCAGTTGACAGTTACTACTAACTGGCAATATTGTCTTGCTAACTTTGCCACTTAAAATCTGGCAATTGACAGTTACTAAGTGACAGTTAACATTACTAAGTATCATTTGCCATATACCAACTGTCAATTGAAAAAATTGGTGACCCTTTTGCGCTTTCGTATTTCTAAACGATTCCGTGAGAGAGTAAATGTGTTAATTTTACGACTATTTTTATTTTATGACAGTCATAAAAAGTTGATTTGCGTGTATAATTTTATATTGATCTGAATCAATAAGGAACTTAATTGATAATTTATTAAGAAATTCTTATACACTTTTAACTGCTATTGATCCAAAAACGTGTGAAGAAACCCAGTTGAGGGTAAATTATAATTTATGAAATTTTTGTGAGTTTTGTGTAATTTTGGTAAAAATGCGGCAACGTGGCTCGAGTTTGCTTGGAATTAAATGAAAAATTGCCGATCATCAGTGCAAGAAGAGGCGCGACCGTCGCCGACTTTTATCTCGTCCCATTCGTCCCATTTGTACCTGCGGAGCCATGGAAATGGGTTACTTAACCGATGTCGAATCGGACTGACCATCGATCATTGGAAAAATCATTACGTAATTATCGAAAAAAATAAAAAATCAAGCACATGTGCTATTCGTGATCTTTTTATTTTTGTTGTTTCATGTGTCGATTAAAAATCGGAAAATAATGCACAAAACACTTTAGCAATTATGACTGTCGACAATTCCACACACAAGACACAATTTTTCGATATGTCTGTTGAGTTTTGGATTTTTGCAGTGCGAAGAAACGGAAGAAGCCACAATTATGGCTTCGGTTCCAATTAAAGACATCGCTGATAATGTAAGTGGGTGCGAAATGTGTGACTGCTTTCATAAAATGGCTTCCTTTAAACTAATTGCTCGACATTTATAATTGCTAAGTTTTTTCTTTTTTGAATCACTTGCAAGTAATTTGGGGAAACACCTGTTTCATCTCATGGAATTTTTGTAGAAAACTTTGATGGTAATTTGAGAAATTCAATAAATGTTGATCGGTTCAAAGTCGTTTGGAATTCTGAAGGTTCCGGCATAAAACTGATACGCGACAAGTTTGAGAATCGGGAATGAATTTCTAAATTATGAAACGTAGCATCTGAAACGGACGAAACTAGCACAAAAATAAAAAAATTAGTGGGAAACGAATTTGAATAATAAACAGTATTTGAGTGGGTTTTTTACCTTTTAAAAAAATTCAATTCAGAGCAATTTGAAATCAAATATGGTAAAAAACCGCTTTACAATAACAATTTCCTTGCACGCCACTACTATTTCCCCATCCAGTCTCGCGACACACTTTACAAAAAATGCACTTAACTCTCCGTAATTAAAACTCCAGCACCTAGCACCCTCTTCTCCTCTTTTCATCCCTCGCGTTTTGCTTCATTCTTTAAAATTTTTTCTCGTCGCGTTTCGTGTAAATTGTAAAGTTTTATAATCGTCGCTTCGCCTGAAGAAGGTAAGTTCATCCCCCGGTTTCATCGGATGGTGGTGTCGAAACAGCGATGACAATGTTATTATTGTGTTTGGTATAGGGGTGCTGCATGTGGGATCAGTGTTTCGGCTACCCAAGACGAACGCGAGATTCGCGCGATTGTGGGTGCCAATTCGCACTTCTTCATCGCGCCGAGGGCACCTAGCACCTAGGAGAACCCTCAACGTCATGTACAGACGTAAGTGTGGTGATGGCGGAGGCTTACACCACCCGGTATTTGATGAAGCACGAGTTTGAATTTCAAGTTTTGGACGAGGCGGTGGCGATTTGCAAAAAATATCACTACTTTCTCATTTTTTAACTTTGTTTTTAAACAGAAAATCAATATTTTCAAGTATCTGTTTGAAGAGAGAGTTTTTTTGACTTAAAATTGCACGAAAAACTTGATTTAGCAAATTGAAACTAGCTAATATGGTCAAATTCTATGTAATGTAATGTGATCATGTGTTTTTACGAGACATTTCGGGTCAGTTCGTGTAAGTCCGGGGTTTTTCGAGTCGTTTTGCTTCACTTCGGTACATTTCTGGTCGAGTCGGGACTCTACGTGTCGTTTTTGAGACATTTCTTTTAAAAAAATCTAAATGTTAAAAATGCTAATTAAGACTTTTAATCATTTTGGGCTGCAAAATACAGGTGGGGAGAGTAAGGAGGTGTCAGAAATATCGATTCAAAAAATTTTTAGATTTGCAAAAAAACTTAAAAGTTTTTAAAGAAATGCTCAAATATAAAAAATGACACAACAAGCTTTTCAATATATTGTGGTGCAAAACACAGTTGAAGAGACTATATAAATGTCCAGAAATAGAAACTTAAAAAACTTTTTTTAACATTTAAAAATTCATAAATGTAAAAAAATGGTTCTGTCAGGGATGTAACCAGGATTTTATTTCGGGGGGGGTTTCTTGTCGGTCCATGAAAATAAAATGAAAGAAGGCGGATTAAAAATCAAAAATCTCTAAGTCCCCGTTTTTATTTTAAATTAAAATAAGAGATCCTAATTAAACATAAAAAAAATACAAATTAACTCACAAAAGTAACAAAAAGTAGAATACATTTTTAATACTTTTTAGTGTTACAAATTTAAATGGGAGATAGAATATTCATTTTTAAAACAAAAGTTTTCTATGAACATATATCGAAAAATGCTACGCAAAGGGTGCGTCTTTTAATAGTTTTTTTTCAATATTTCCGAAATCATTTTAGAAAAAATTTTCAAAATTTGGTACAGAAGATACCTTTTATACACCTAAACAAGTAGAAAAATAAAATGTTGAAATTTTTAATTAGGGGCTTCCTAAACTAGATGGGATTAGGGTAAAAATTTATTCTAGCTATTTTGCCTGTGGTTTCTTGCCACTTTCAGCAACAAAATTTCATAGTTTTTTGTAAAAAAATGTCTTTTGTGTTTTTCCGATACAATTTACGGATTTTTAGTGAAAATCGGTTTAAAAATTTATGTTACAGACCATAAACAGCATAAAAATTAAAAATTAAATTTGTTTTACCGTTTAGGACGCCCCTGATTAAAAATTTTGTTATTTGGCATTTGTATAAGTGTACATATAAGGGTACCAAATTTTGTAATTTTATCTATTCTGAAATATTAGGAAAAACCCTTTAAAAAACTTACTTTTTTTAGGGGATGTAGCTCCCTTTTATAGTATTTTTCGAAACACTTTTGTCTTAAAATTAAATATTCTATCAAGTATTTAAATTTGTACCTAACAATAAAAATGAAAGACTGTATAATTAACACATGAAAAATTAATTCACAAAAATTTAAAATTAACTCACTAAAATAACAAAAAAAACTAAATTTTTAACACTTATAACACTATATAACAAAGGGTTTGAACCCCCTAATCCCCCCCGCCTTGGGTACGGCCCTGGGTTCTGTGTTTTTTTAATTGTGAAAAGTGAATATGCAAAGAATTTTCCACTATGACCGTTAGTTTTGGAACAAGATTTTTTAATTTTAGGGGAAAAGAATCAAAGCAGAAAAATTGAAAAAAAGTTTGAGCTTTTAATATATGGTTTAATAAATATAGAATCACGTGTGAATGATTAAAATGTTCAACGATAAATGAGTTTCGAGATTTTGAGCTATTTTTGGCGTTTCCGTGCGTTTTTTCCCAAATAACTAATCATTTTTTTAAAGGCATGTTAATTGCCCGGAGCACTCCGGAATTCTCGATAGCTTATAGAAAATCGTCCAGAATACTGTGCAAGTGGTTAAAATGCTGTACGATAAGTAGTTTTCAAGATATCAAGGTTTTCTTAGCGAGTTTGGTTTAGGAGTAATAATTTTCGAGTTACAATTTTTTTATTTTAAAAAGTCGAAATGCTTTTAAAACGCCTCTTGATACAAAAGTATAAATCAGATCGACTCCGGGTTTTGCCATAGACTGCGACGGCTTTTTTGTAGATCTTAGTTTTTGAAAAAACGCGTTTTTTGGATTTATCAACAACTATCAAACAAAAACTAGCATGGGTTTAAACTATAAATCGGCGAAATTAGCTTGAAAAAAGCTACAAAATGATGTAGATTTCAAAGTTTAGAACAGCAGCGAGTAGTTTAAGTTGTTTAGAAGTTATCGAGATACATACAAAATGTTTTGCCTTGTTGTGTCTATTTCAACGTTTTCTCGGTAATTCTTCTTCATTAAATGACAACTTTTATTTCATAAGATGGAAAATTTAAAGTGCTTTCCAAAGTACTAAATACAAAGGACTTCGTCGAATAGTTTCGGAGTTATTAACAGATATCAAATCACAAAAATCAAAAATTTTAAAATTGGAGCAAACGATGTTTTTGCACTTTTATGAGTTCTGAGAACACGGGAACACGGAAGAATACAAAAAATGTTTCGTGGTTGCGTTTAAAAAAATATAATTTTCCAAATGTTTCGAAAAGTCTTTCGGAATTTGGTGTTATTTTCGTCGAAAATGAGAAAGTAGGTGAACAATTTACTCCAGAAAAGTCTAAATCGCCGCCCCGCCGTCGTCCTCCCCTTCTCCCACGTACAGGGTGGTGGAGGTGTGTCCGCTTTTTTCGAATTGCAGCACCCTGTACCATACACCTTCTCGAGGACCAATGTTCACCATTGCTCCTCGCGACTCAGCTTGATTTCGCACTGCTTTTTTTCTCAATTTTTAATTGACACATGTAGAAGGGGATTAAATTAATCGGTCGTTGATCGTGTTGTTATTGTTGTCAATGTTCTTGCACCGAAAAAAGCCAAAAAAAAACAAAACAAACAATAATTGTGCTACGTCTCGTCATCACACACGAAATTGTGTCAGTCTCAGTGGATTTCCGTCCTCACACCGCTTTCATTACTTAATTACTTTAAATTGTGGAAAGCTTTTTTGAGCGAAATTAGTTTGAGTGTATGAATGGTGGAGCTAAATGTGGGATCAAGTTGCGACATGTGCGATTCTTAATTGTGGCGTTGGTATTGTATTGATTTTGGTCGCTTTTCCAACATCAAAGACTGAATGCGAAATGTGCATTTAATTAAACGCAAGGGAGAAAACAGAAATGGAGAGCAGGAAAATATCGTTGCTCAAACTAAAACAAGTCTAATTAAGAAAATGTGATAGTTAAACTTAATCAAGATTCGGTTTATTGGCACGATTATGACTCCCGGAACTGTAATTGTTGAAGATAAACAAGGAAATGGTCGTGTTCATACAGTCAATTAGGTTGTTTTTACGACTCTAGACATAGTAACAAACATGGAGAATTAAACGTTCAAGAGTTATTTTGATATAGTCTATTTTTTGACAAGTCAATTTTTTTTCAAATTAAATCAAAAACCGGAATTGTTAACCACGGGCGCCGACTACATTGAAAATAATGCTTAAGGTAAAATAATAATAATAATAATAACTCTTAATAATATATTTGAAGTATTGTGTTTGTTCTAATCTTTTTTAGTAACGTTACATTCTTTAAAATCACTTTTAATGTCAAAAATGTCTTACATTTTTTATTATTCTACAGTATGTCTCTGGATTGAGTTTACAAGACGAAAAATTTTTTATCTTTGATTTTACGCCAAAACTGCAAAGGAAAAACGTTTTTTGCTTTACCTGAAACGAGCAAATCTGTAATTAAAACTCCATTATTCTAACTTAGTAGAAAGAAAAGTTTCTTTTTCTCTTGATTTTGGACTTAAAAATGAAAGAAAAATTATTCCAAGTCCCAAATCAAGAGAAAAATTAATTTTTCTTTTCACTGAATCAGAATAATGAAGTTTTAGTTACAGATTTGCTCGTTTCAGGTGAAGCAAAAAATGTTTTTTCTTCGCAGTTTTGGCATAAAATCAAAGATTTCAAAAAAAAAATTCCTCTTGTAATCTCAATCTGGGGACATACTGTATTTCAGAAAATGGACCAAATTCATCGTTTACGTTCTACTATATTGTTTTTCCAGTTTTTGAATTAATTCAAAATTAAGCTTTTCGGTGAAAAACTCCTTGAAAAAGATCTCAAATACTTCAAAATGACAAAATATTTTATAAAACTTTTTTATATACTATTCCAAAGAAGGGAAATAAACAAAAGTCTTAAATTTTTTGGTGATTTTTGAAAGACTGCACCTCTATGAAAAATGGCCGTATCTAGATTAAAAAAAACATTTTAAAGTTTCGAGTTTCTAGTTTTGAGATTTTTTTTTTGATCTTTTTTTTTTTTGATCTGCGGACTTGGGTAAATTTTTATCAGTTAAATCAGTGCATAGGCCCGATAGCTTGTTGATTCAGCTACAATTCGCTTTTTTATGTTTTTTTACGTCAATTTGTCACTAAGATACTTGACTTTTAATAAAAAAGGATCTTTTTGTCTTTGTTCATCGATATCTTAAGAATAATATAAAGATGGTTTCAAAAACTGGAATAAGTGTCCTACAAATTTTGTTGAAAAGGATTTATTTCACTCTCAACATTGATTTAAAGTAAAGAGAAAAAACTAATTTTTTTTGTTGTTTTAATAAATCTACCGCGTATTTACAAATATTGATGTTTTCTTACAGCAATTGATCAAAGTTTTACAAGAGAATTAAAGGAATTAATTGTTTCTGAACACTGTGTAACTTTCATCAAAAGGAAAACTTTTTTGCAATTTTGGAAGTTAAATTTGAAAAAAAAATTAAAGAATTTTTTTTATATTTTTGGAAAGTAAAAAATTTAGAAACAATACTGACTAATACTTGATTACATCGAAAATGGTATTATGAAACACAGGATCAATAAAACTATTAAATTCGTCGCGATGTTTATCCTGTGTTCTTTAATACCATTTTCGACGTAATTAAGTATCAAGATTTCATTTTTCATACCCTAATTAAATTAATTACATACATTAATTAAAGTTGATACCCCCAAGATGTATTCAGCACTCGATTTACGAACATTCAGCAAAATTTTCGAAAAAATATGAATATTTTTAATTGTTTCCGAATTTTTTTTAATCTCATTTAACACCTTTTTTTTTTCAAAACTCAACAACTTGAAAAATTTTGGAACTTTGAACATGTACTATTTTCTTTACACTTTTTATTCTATACGAACATTAATCACTTTTGTATTGTTTTACTGTTATTTATTGTTTTTTTTTGTGCTACACGAAAAATTATATTGTTTTTATTCTTCGACACTGTCAAAATTTACGGTTTTTCTCCCGTGTAAGGAAGTTTTGACAACTGTTTGGCATTTCTCAATACAAAACGTCAAATTATTTTTAACAGATTTAAAGCAAGTTTAATCCTTGTTGACTCTAATTCGAAGAATAAAATGTTGTATTCCACTCATTTGAGTGTAAATCGGACGCTTTATTCCACCTCGTGGATGGTAAACCACTCGTTACACTCGTGGTTTAAAAATCCACTCGGTCAAATAAAGAGTCCGATTTATACTCAAACTCGTCGAATAAATAACTATTAAATGTTCTAAAAAGTTCATAAAAAATAGACAAGAAATCTTTCAAGATAATATGTATAAAAGAATTATTAGAATATCTGAAAAGAAAAATATCTGAAAAAAAAATTAATCGTAGTTCAAAAATTCTGAAAAAAATATAATTTTTTGATGACTTTAGCAGTAATATACTATATTAGTTTGAAATTTTTTGTCCGTGTCGTTTACAAATAAATTTAAAAAAACTTCTATTTTTGGCAATTTTTTATATAAGAACTGTACGGAAGAATTTTTTGATTTATTTTTGGCGTATTGTATCGAGAAATCAAGATAATTTGTCTTTAGTTCCGAAAACGTATGTCTGTTTTTGAACTAACTGCAGGTGAAACGTCAAATAAAATGACAAGTCGAAAGGTAAAACGGCAAAATGGGCTGGGCTGGAATTAGTCGACGTCGAATAATAGGACTCTGTAAAAAAATTGTAAAAAAATAATTTGTTTTGTGTTTTTCTTAAAAATTAATTTTTTTTTTCGTTTGAAGACTTGTTTGTTGTCTGGTCTGTACACAAGCGACAAAGTCTTCCGGTGGTACATTTTGGAACTGACAAGAAACGTGCCATCTACGAGGCGGTAGAGTAACTAGTTTTTGAAAACTGTAATTTTGTAGTTTAATGTTAAAATATTAAATATGTACTATATTTTTTGTTTATTCCAGTTCAATTATATCTATTATTGTGGCTTCACCACCTAATTAATTTTATATAAACAAAGCAAAATTACTTGTTTGTAAATTGCAAATTGGACATTGAAAAGTCGGCGCCCCTTTATCAAAATTCCCAGACCAAAACCAAACAAATGAGATTGTTGTCGCAGCTTGGTCCGAGTTGTGCCAAAATTGACCGAGTTTTTGACTTAGCCGTGTCCTCCTGCGCCTCGTAAACACCGTCCCCGCATAAACTCGGCCATTTTCGTATCGAACAGCGGTCCAGGTCTGGATACGAGGGAGTTTTTCAGGCGTCACGGCTCCGTCTCCCGTCTGTGTAGAAAGGCCCGCAGCGTCGACAACATCTCCTTGGAGGAGAACCATTTCGGTCTGCCGACTTTGTCGGTGTCGGGGCCGTCGCCGCCCGAAGACGACGACAGAGACGATATTCAAGAGACTCAACGATTTTTGGAGTAATAGTAAAATAAGGGAGTGAGTTTTGGTGTGCCAATGCAGTGACGCTCTTTGAATGGTGTTAGTCTAATTATATTTAGAACTTTGCCATTAGGTTTAGTGTCGATACTGTACTGACAACTACGAGCTTTGTACGAACATTGACCTTCGTATTCAATTACATATCGGGAGAGAGATTTGATTTCAGGAAATGTTGTTGTTTTTGAATTTTTTTTAGATACGGGACCAAAGTCGATAAACAAGAGCTTTAAATTGTGGGCCAGGGAACGGGGGGAGGTGTTCGTGCAATTTCTACAATTTTTCTATAGCTTTAAATACTCTAGGGATTAGTTACGAGGTCCAACACTGCTATTTTCAAGCCCTGAGTTTATCAAATGCGCACGGAAGTCTTGAAATGTTGACAATTATAAAAAAAATGTAAATTGAGCGACAAAATAATTTTATTAAAACTGAAAATAGTTTGATACATAATTTTTAAATTGATTTAAAATTTTACACTTTTTGGTTTTTGAGTAGTGACGTCATCGACACTTTTTTAAATGGAAACCCCAAATTTTAGCCAATTTGATAAATCTCTTAATTGTCAAAATGACACCAAAATATTAAATAGTTTTCCAAAAAAAATAGCAAAAAAGTGGAACAATATCAACAAAAACAAACATACAATTTTGAATCTTATTAAAACTGAAAATATTTTGATACATAATTTTCAAGTTGATTTCAAATTTTAAACCTTTTGGGTTTTCAGTAGTGAGGTCATCGACATTTTTTAAATGGAAACCTCTAATTTTGTTAGCCAATTTGATAAACCTTTTAATTGTCGAAATGACAAATATAAATAAATATAAATATAAAAATAAATGACAAATATAATAAATAGTTTTCCAAAAAAAATTAGCAGAAAAGTGGAATAATATCAACAAAAACAAACATACAATTTTGAATCTTATTAAAACTAAAAATATTTTGATACATAATTTTCAAGTTGATTTAAAGTTTCACACTTTTTGGTTTTTGAGTAGTGACTTCATCGACACTTTTTTTTAAATGGAAACCCTTAATTTTATTAGCCAATTTGATAAATCTTTTAATTGTCGAAATGACACCAAAATATTAAACAGTTTTGCAAAAAAAATTAGCAAAAAAGTGGAATAATATCAACAAAAACAAACATACATGAATCAAGTTGAGAATTTTGTATTTTTTGAACAGAAAATTGAGCATTTTTGTCAAAACAAATATTTTCAATTTAATAAATATAATTATACCATAATTTTGCCCCTCACTGTATATACAGGCTGTCTCAATAAAAACGAGCCACCAAGAATATCTTATAGAAAATAAAAAGACTTTTCAAAAACGCCGAATTTTTTTTCCGAAGGGGATATTTTTTTATGTAATTTTTAAAGCATTTTCAGTAACCCCAACTTTAAAAATTTAAATGGTACTACCCCATTTGTGGCACATCAAATAAAAGCAATTTTGATGAACTTTTTAAGACTTTTATAAGATACAGGGTTCTAAGAAACGAACCACCCTAGCAAGAATTTGCAAAAACCCCAAAACATGACTTGTTTTCTTTTTAAAATGGACATTTTTTACGCAATTTTAAAAGCACCCCCCACTAATCCTTTAATTTCCCCCACCTCAATTCCGTAATCTCAAATGACACCGAGTCACTTAAAATGTTTTTTAAACCTATTTTCTAAAGTTGTACGGGATTATCTATTTATAAGATATCCGCAAAAAGTAATGTTTCTAATTCGTAATTGCTTTTAATAAAAACTATTAAAATAAATTACAAGAAACTTACTAATATTGTTATAATTATTATCAGAGCTGTGAAAAACTTATTTTTGTTTCTTTATTGGGTGATAGTGGAAAAAATAGTTTTTAAGTTCCTTTGTACATATTGACTGCTGCAAGATTATTTTTTTGTCGATATGAATGTATAGAAATCATTTCATTTTTATTGTGTTTTTATTAAGTGTTTTCATTTTAAGTGTCACTAATGTATTGGTGCTATTTAACATTTTAGAGTGGCATAGAGGTTAAAGAGTCAGTGGGGGTGCCTTTAAAATAGTGTCAAAAAAGTTCCTTTTAAAACAAGTGTTTTGTGAAAACTCTTTCTAGGGTGGTTTGTTTTTATTAGAATACTCTGTATCTCATGAATTGATGATTTGATTTAATTTGGGTAAAAAGTCTTGAAAAGCTTGTTTAAATAACTTTCATTTGATGTGCCACAAGTAGGGTAGTGCCGTTTTTAATGTTGAAGTGCTTGGGTGTTAGGGGGTCACTGGGGGTGCTTTAAAAAATACGTCAAAAAACGTCCTCCTCGAAAACTAAATTGACCTGTTTCGGCGTTTTTGCATTTTTTTTTTACTTTCTGAGATATTCGGGGTGGATCGTTTTCATTGGGACACCCTGTATCTTTTTGTATACCATTTTACACAAAATCACTGAACGACTGAAATATTTTTTTTAATCTAGGGTACGTCATAGCCATCACGATTTTTTGACGTCTCTTTGTCACTGAGTCAAATTCTGACTTTTTAATAATAGTCTTCGGCCAAAAAGTTTAACGCTGCGCGACGTGTGTCAAATTTTGGGTTTTAGCAGCTTTAAACTTCAACAGATTTCTCAGTCTTTGAATTTTTTATATGTGAATTCTGGTGGCTTTTCGAGGCTTCCGTAAATGCAATTCAATTTATTGAATTGCTAGAAATTAATCTATGGATGGCTTTTTAAACAGCTCTTGATCAAATTCAATTCTACCACTTGCCTGTATCAACGATCACTTGCTCAAATCTCTGAATGTCATCACTGGAGAAATTATTTTGACGATATATTATTGTAAAAAACTATAGTTTTATACGTAGTTGTACTTCCTAATAACAATTTAATTGTTGCGTATTTGTGTTTTGATCTATTGATTGTCGTAGTTTATTGTTTTCCTTTCATTAGTCTATCTTTTCTACGAATTGTGAAAAAAATATATTCGTCGTGAAATATCATGTGTAAATATCATCTTTTTGGCTTTACATAATGGGTCCAATACTGACTTGTAGAACCCAACTTATCTACAGTTTTTTTCTAATCACTGTGATTTTTAATGCCTTTGAATTATACGCCATCTTGTTTATTTTATAAAACACTGTCGAGGTAAAAGGGTCTTGTAAAATGCAGTATATAAATTTATCACTGATTTCTTTGTGTAAACGCAATAAATTAATATCTAAACTGCTTTGCATTTTTATTTCTTTACGTATTTGCACTCTGATATTAAATTCATTTTTCTGAGACATTCCAAAAGAACGTTTTCGAATTTTCACTGTAATTTAATATCGTCGACTTAATGGAATATTAAATTGCGTCGCTTTTTACCCCGTTTGTACTTTTTTCTAAGGTCTTCCGGTTATCTCATCCACTCTCTTCGCAAATGTTCCGGTAATTGACGTGTCAGGTAAAATTTTTATGTCATTTTTGAAATTAAACAAGAAACCGAAGGTACGATAAGTAAAAGTAGAAAATAATTTGTATTTATATTGTCGCATTTTTTTAAATTTTGAATAGGTGGGCAACCAACAATACACGTGTCAAGAATTGAGTAATGTCACGTAATTGTCATGTCATGTAATTAAATTAAAATAAAGCCTATAAAATCATTTCATTTACAAAATAGTAAATGTGTTTTGAAACTTTTTAAAATAATTACACTTTTGTTAAAACAACTTTTTATAACGAGTGAAATTTCGGACAAACGCAATGACATTTGACAGTTGACACGTCTACGCAAGCGCAGTTACATAACCTCCCTTTGTTTATAAACAAAAAATCTTCTAAAAAAATATCAAAACAGAAGTTAGGGGTACAAATCTCCAAAAAATGGATAGACAGACAACCCCCAATAGCTCCGGTTTTGTTTACTTCAACACGAGTACAAATCAAGAATATCCCAACAATTCAGATACGTCCGACTTTTTGGCCTTTAGTGACTCCCCACAAGCGTCTCCTCCAACCAGCAAGTTCAAACCGCATTATTACAGTAGCCCCCAAAAATTTCACAGAGGGAGTCCCAGACAGTACCCCCAGAATAATAGGAGGTATCAGAGGTGGTCGGGGGGCTATAATCGGTCTTATAACAGCTCACACAACTCCAGTGGATCATTTAGAGTAGGTTTTGTCATTATTGAGGGTTTTGGGGGTAAACAAGGTGTTGCAGGAGAGTGACCAAGAGGGCACAAATATTCTTAAATTCATACATCCATCGTTCTTGGAGGACCCATGGGCCCCCTTGGAGGCCAAATTGAAGGAAAAAGCGGAAAATAATAGCGAATTTAACGATTCGTCAGGATCAGTGTCTCAAGAGGCTTGATTAGGATTTGGGGGAAAAGTCAATTCAAGTACAAATGTGCAAATTTAATTAATTTTTATTAAATTAAGACAATTTTAATTATAAGATTTAAAAATGTTGATAATTTATTAAAAAAAAATAGTTTTTATACAGTTTCCTCTATTACCGGCTTCGTGTCAAGATGACGCACGACTCTCCAATGCGCCTTTCGGAAAAAATCAAATCGTGTACTAAATGTGCAATTTTGTTTAATTAGTCTTAATTGCAGGCTTTGAAGTGTTATTTTATTTAAAAAAAGGTGTTTGGTATAGTTTCCTGTATTACCGGTTTCGTGTCACGCGTTTCTTGTCAAGATGGCGCCCAATTCCCATTAAAAAAATCCCAACCATGCGCACTCCTCTCTTGGAAAATCTAAAACTTTGTTTAGTTTTGCGACATTTATGTTTGGTGTATGTTGTACCCCGCGTCCTGCGAAAACCTGTTGCGTTTATGTGATCGAAATCGTGCGTGATGCGTGACCGGTGCAATCGAGGAAAAACGTGATTTTTGGTGGCCTATAGTGTATTTTTTCTACGAACATGGGCCTGGGAGTATCTAAAGAGGCTCCTTTTCCGGAGCCCGAAAGACCGGAAAGTGTGATTTCGTCGAAACTGCACGGAAGACAAGCGAGCATCAGACAGAGTACCATCAGGGCGAAATCGAAGCAACCCATGCCCGACCCCAGCGAGCTCGAAAGGAGGTTCACCAAAGTGCTGGTACGTAGCCTTCGATGGTATGAATCACGTCCATAATCAATGTTTATACCATTCGTGATGGAAACATGTGTTTGGTTTTTCAAACGGTGGAGGAATGCGGTTTTGAACGCATCGCGACGATAAGAATGGTAGGTACCCGCGGTACCAAAGGGTGGCCATGGAACCACATCTGGTCACTTGATTTAAATTCGACGTAAACAACAGTTAAAATTTTACTTTTATTTACTAACAACTTTCGGTTTTTTTGCGATGATTCATTCGAAAGTTGTACGATTTTGTTACGCAAATTTTACATAAACTATAGGTTAGGCGCAACTGTTGACTCAATACAAGTACCATAAATTTATTTAATTATTAAAAGTTGGCACCAACAAATGGGTCAATTGCCTGTTGTATCTCTTTTGTTCCATTATTGAAAGATTGTTGCAATCTAGATTTATTAGACCATCAAATGGCTAAAAACTGACCCATTGTTTGTACCATTGAGTGATTTTCTGACACGAGATAACGAAAAAATGACCACCGGCGGTGTTGAGAAATTGGCGGTTTTTGGGTTGGAATTTCATAAATTCCAAATAAAAAAACTACCAGACCATCGCCGATAACCATGACTCATCAATTTTACATTCAACCATCGTCCCATTTGGGAATATTAGAAGTTTTCGAAGAAAAAATGCGGAATCTAGTAGGCGTCTGTCATTTTTAAAGTCAAGGCTTACTCAACAATTCGTGTCATAATACACTTCCTGTTGCAAAAACAATTGAAGAGTTGCACAAATTGACACATTTTGACAGCTTTCACCCGAAAACGTGCTTTTGACAGTCCCAACTGCGACTTGGTTGATAAATTTTATCGCAGTTTTGTGATTTGGTGACATCATTATGTTAATGGCTTTGATCTAATTTGCGTCATAGTAGGCTGTGTTTTGTCAAGATGTGACAGTATTTTTAGCACACTTGAAAACGTTGCTTCGACATTTTACTTTTTTTTTTGACAGTTTTGCTCAAAATTTGATGAGAAAGACAGAGCATACTACAAAACACAGCGCACTTCAAACAATACGATTTTGTGAATAATTTTATATAATAATAATTTTATAAAATAAAACTTTTGCCATCTTTTGAAAAGTTGCATAAATTATCACATTTTGACAGCTTTTTTTAAACACGAAAGCGTATTTTTGACATTTTATGGCCAACTGCGACTTCATTAAGTTAAAGGATTTGATCAAATTTGCATCACAGTGGGCTGTTTTATCAAGATGTGACAGTTTTTGAGTATTCATAGCACATTTGAAAACGCACATTTCCTTGACATTTTACTTTATTTGACAGTTTTGCTCAAAATTTCATGAGAAAGACAGAGCCTACTTTTCTACAAAACACAGCACACTTCAAACGATACGATTTTGTGAATAATTTTTAAACTTTCGTCATCTTTTGAAGAGTTCCATAAATTGTTACATTTTGACAGTTTCTTTTAAACAAACCTAGCATGCGCGAAAGCGTGTTTTTGACTTTTTATGGCCAATTGCGACTTCATTATTTATGTTAATGGATTTGATCAAATTTGCGTCATAGTAAGCCTACTGTGATCTTTATAAAACAGTCGTCTTATAAAGATGTGACAGTTTTTGAGTATTCATGGCACACTTGAAAACGCATATTTCTTGCTTATTTTTTGATATTTCACTCATTTTTTGACATTTTCTATAAAACACAGCTCAATGAAAAGGATTTTGTCAATTTTTCTGAATAATTTCTCCATTTTTTGTCTAGTTTAAGCAATTTTGCGCTTCTGTTTGGTTAATTTTTTCAAAGTTGGGTCAAGTGTTAGTTTGACAGATTTTGAAAAAGTCATGGCCAACTGAGGTTTTTCACCAAAACTTGTCGATTTTTCATGGTAAAGTGCGATTTTTTTGTGAATTTTATCGTTATCAACCGATATTACCTCCCCCATTTCTAATCCAGGTTAGTCAACCTGGTAAAAAATTAATCAGCCAATAGAATTGCCGCTTGTTATTGATTTTATGTCATTGTAGCGTAAAATTTTCTCGTACTAACAATTTTATATTGTAATTGATTTAAGAAATTGTATTTTAAAAATAAATAACGTCTAGAGGCAAGATGCGAGATAGCAACGCCTAACAATGAACCTGTACATCAAAACATATAATTTCGTGATAAAGATGGACGATAATCGAATAAATGAAAAGGGAAGTTGATATTTTATTATATTTACCGTCAGGTGCAACGCATTAATTTTTTTCAATTGGTTTATTCATCTCTTATCATATTTGCACTCAAACCAAATAGAGAGAAAAAAGTGCATTATTCGTATCAGATATCTCTTATTTATGTACTCCGATGCAACATATGCGGTAATCTCCTCCTCTTTAAATATTCACAATCCTACGCTCCGGGTCGTGGGTAGTCATGCAACATTCACAATCTAGTTAGTAAAAAGAACAACAAAAAAAGAGATAATCCTGTAAAGAAACATTCACACCTGTTCTCAATTTCCAGACGCTCTTTCCGAAATTAACTTTTACTATCAACGTGAAATCTGATTGGTTTAAAGCAGTGTTCGTGTCAAGGGGTGGGCGGATATGAAACGGCGAGACAGGGTGGGGCCGTCGACCGTTTTATTTTTCTCGAAACAAGAACAATTAATTCACGGAGAAAATTTGAAAAAAATTGAAACAATGGAAACAATAACCAATTGTCGATTTTCTATAAAATTCTCCGTTTTGAAACGTTTTATTTTCAAAGCCTTGAATCCATTGACGTACGAGGAAGAGCACCTAACTCAATTTCCGAAAATAATCATCCGCTATTTATACCCACAATATGGGGTTATTTCCAGCACTGAGACCTTCCTCAATGTTCCCGTCGTCGACTGGAAACACAACGAAGGGTTGACACAGACAAAACACCCTCTGTTTATGATTTTCGCAGGTGTAATGGAATGTGAATCCCTCGGGATAATCGAGTGCGTGAAATTTTCACGGTTTCAGCCTCGAAACGGATGTGACGGTGACAGGAAATGGGCTTGATAGGCCAGCGAAGTGCACCACAAGTGGCTAAATAATTTTTTTTTCACTCCAATTAACGAGATTTAAATGTGTGGCCTAGTTGTACAAGAAAATTTATAACTTTCGAACAGATTCTTTTAACGTGTCTTTAATTAAGTTAATAGGCGTTTTGAATAATTTCTTTGTTAGTGTTTATCGTTCTCACGCGATTTTCTCACTTTACATTTGATATTGTAGTTTGAGGAATTTTTAGATTGGCCCGAAAAAGTGTGATTTATAAAAATGTACATTCACGGATGATTTGTTAGAATTTATGACTTTTTGTTCGGGTTATCGACTCGAAAAAATACGTGGATGGTTATGGTCAAGTGAGCTGTGGATTTTGTTGGTTTAAAATTGTAAAATAATGTTTTTGCTGGGAACATTATTTCCTAATGAAGCATTACTAACATACAATTTTTTTCTTCAACCTTGGACATTGTCGCTTTAAAAAATGACAAATATGGAAAAACATTTAAAAAAAACAATTGATAACAATATAATTACTATCACGATGAATGGTTTTGTCCTTTTTTAAATAATATTTCTAAACAGTGGTCAAAATAATATTAAACAATCATGTATTAACATATTTTGGCGCCTATAAAACGTAATTTTGGCAACACAACTATTTTTCGGACTTATGAACATTTTTTTACTTTAAATTGTGACGATAAAATAATTACAAAAAAAACAAAACGAAAATAAACGGTCTAAGAAAAATTAAATATTTCAGAGTGGACAAAAGTTGTTGAAATCTGGTATAGCAAAAAATTCAAATAATTCTGTTCCTAATTTCACGCATTTTGACAATTTTTTAGACTCTTCATGATTTTGATCGTACACTTTGCATTTTGGAATAATAAAAATTCTAAAATATTTTAACACTCAAACTTGGTCATGATTTTTTTATTTACTTCTAGAATTCAACTTTCGACTTTTTGTTACACGTGTTAAATGCAATATTTTTTTATTCCAAAAATTAAAAATATTGGTATTTTGATGAATACTGGGTGTCTAAAAAAACATTAAAATATTTTGGGGATGATTCCTTAGCTCAATATAGGAAAAAAAGTTGGTGTAAAATTGTAAAAAATTGTTTTTTTGCTGGGAAAATTATTTCGTAATGAAGCATCACTAACATACAATTTTTTTCTGAAACGTGGACATTGTTGCTTTAAAAAATGAAAAATAAAAACAATAAAAAAACAACAAAAAGAAAAAAACTGTGACGATAAAATAATCACCAAAACAACAAAACGAAAATAAACGGTCTAATATTTCATAGTGGACAAAAGTTGTTGAAATCTGGTATAGCAAAAAAATTGAAATAA